TTTCTTCCAGCTGGGGGCGCTTTGGCGATGCCTCTCCGGCTGGATTTCGTTCTGGGAACGCGCTGGCGATGCCTTTCCGCCTGGGTCTCTAGCCGGAAACACGCTGCCGCTGCCTTTCCGGCTGTATTTCCTTCCAGCTAGAAAGGCACTGAGACGGCATTGCTAGCTGGATTCCCTGCTGGACACACACCGGGGCGGCGTCGCTGGCTGGATTTCTAGCTAGAAACGCACTGAGACGGCGTCCCTAGGTGGGTTTCCAGCTAGAAATGCACTGAGACGGCGTCGCTAGCTAGATTCCCAAGCAGAAACGCACTGCGACGGCGTCTCTAGCCGGGTTTCCAGCTCGGCATGCTTTGAAAAGGCATCCATTAGGCCGCGGATGCATTTTCGCTGCGTCCCCGGCTGGATTTACTTTCAGCTAGAAGAAACGGGCTGAGCAGGCATCTCCAGCCGAGCTCCCAGCTGGAAAAGCGTCGCGCGTGCGTTTCCACTGCGTTCCCGGCTAGATTTCCTTCCAGCTGGAAACGCACGGAGGGGGCCTCTCTGGCTGGATTTCCAGCTAGAAACGCAAACGCTCTGTCTGAGTGGGCGTCTCTAGCTCGATCTCCACCAGCTCGGTAGAAATGCCCTGAAGAGGCATTTCCGGCTGGGATGCGCTGCGGATGCGTTTTCAATGTGCTTCCGGCTGGGCTTCCTTGCAGCTGGAAACGCACTGCGGCACGACAGCAGAGGCAGTGTCTTTCTCAGTTGATACCGAAAACGCCTGCGCGCCGTCGCGGCAGGTGAACTCTGTGAAAGATGTTCCTTCTAGCGCAAGTTTGCGACGTCACACCCAGCGGGCGAAGCTATTCGAATCTCGTGCAATTACTACGAGCAGCACGATACTTTTGCACAGGATATTCTCCTCTCGTCCCGTTCCTCGTCGGCCCCCCGCGCTGCAGAAGTCCTAGTACTTCTACTTCCTGGCGCAGCTCCTGCGGGTGGATCACAACTCTTGTCAACAGCTCTTGTCTTGCCGCTAGCTGCGCTACTTCTATCCCGTAGTTCTTTGCACTCATTATCCGCGAAGAACTCCTCCTGATGATGCTGTGAACTACGGGCTTTAGTCCGTACTTCCTCTGGTGTAGTCCCTGGTGCCGGAGACGGAGTGGAAAAAAGGTGTATCAAATGCAAAAGTGTCTGGGTCTGGAAACTTGTGATGCTGGGTGGCGTCTCATGATGAGGCTACAAATGCTGGCTCAGCATGACAAGTTTCTGAGCTCCTAGGTGTTGCAGATTCTGCATAACAAACTGCGCTTCTGCATCACAGAAAAAGAAAAACGGAGCTCTTGGGTAACGTGCATGACCGATTTAAGAGTCATGCCAGACAAGCATGACAAACATGAATTCTTCCAGACCCAGACATTTTTGCACTTGATAAGGTGCACCTGCGATCGATCTGCTTGAACAACCTGATTCTGGTGCGGCTCTCGTAGTTCTATCTTCGCGCCGGCGGCCCTATCATTATCATTCACTTCTTGCTCGTCCACCCCTGCTGGTGAGTTGTTGAAGCTTGTTAGCTATTCTCTGCAAAGTATCGCACTCGTACAAATGCATTACAAATTTTTTCAGCATCAGAACGGGATTTTGTCATGCTGTTTTACCTTAAGGACAAGATTTGATGTCATGCATAGTTACAACTAGTACGAGCACGAGGATTGTACTTCTACAATGCATATTAGCTGCACAGTGTCGTCTTCCACATCCACATCTGGCAGCTATGGAGAGAAAAAAGTTTGTCACAGTCACTAACTTGCAGGTTTTGCATTACAAATTTTTTTCGCATCGCAGCCTTTCCTTGTATTGCAGAAACACTAGGGAAATCCCTTATGAAGTGTGGCTCTGATGCGTTTTTACGCATGACAGAAAATTTTGTATTGGGAAAATGCGCATGAGTGATCGTGACGAACTTTTTTCCTTTGATAGCAGCTCGGCTTGTTTCAAAAACGCAAAATCGGGCACGAACTCAAACCTTCTTATCCTGAGTAAAAACGTCCCCTCCACAACCCCATAGTTGTAAATGCAAATGCGCACGCTGCGAATGTTTCTCATGCGGAGACCCATCACAGGCATTATTTTCTAGTTGTGTTTCGGTGCTTGTGATGCTCGAATCAGTGCGATGCGCTAGGTCCTCTGTAATGCTGCTGGAGCTAGCTAAACAGGATCACACTACGAGGCAAATAAACTTGTCATGCGTAGCAACCAGAGCTGGTTGATTTGTCTAGCAGATTCCCCATCTTGACTATGGGGTGGGGACGTTTTTACATAGGATACTTCTCCGCTTTTGTTTCTCCGACTCGAAGACCCGGCGGAGATCGACCACGAGCTTCAAGGTAGCACCGTGACCGTCCGCTTTTTTCAAAATTTCCAGAGGGCGCTCAGAAAGAAACAGCTCTCGCTGGAAAAAGCTCGTCTTGTGGTCCGCAGTTGTTTCCACCGTTGCTCTAGATCTTGATCTAGCTCCGGCTGCAGCTTCCCGGTCGTGCAGGTTTATGTCGCGGACACGATCTTTTTTCCGATTCCGAAGTCTTCTCGTCGACGAAACGGTGGTAGACCCCGGACCCTGGAGGAAGAGCCGAACGGTTTTTTCGAAAAAAGCAGCACCAGCGGTGGTCCTTTGCTCTCTGTCGTCCTGTTCTTGCAGGAGGTGGTCAGCTGCACCAGCAGCAGGGGATGAACTACACGAGCCTACTTGTTCTCCGGTGCGGCTCGTCGCTTTACAATTTGCGTTCGAATCGGTTCGTTGCACGACTGCGAAGAGTGGATCCACGCAACTGGAGATAAAGTTATCGTCCGCTAGAAGTTGTTGCACCCCTGTAGTAGAAGAAGCAGTAGAAGTTGTTGTACTACTACTACATCCCACAAGCTTGTTCGAGGTTTTCGTCGCCTGCTGAATCCTGAGGAGCAATAACCGGTATTGCCGCTCGAGAAACCGCTCGCGGGCTTCCAAGGTCTCTAGTGCCTGGTACTTCTCGTCATCGTGACGGAAGAAAGGGGTCAAGCAGGCACTCGACGAATGCAAACGGGTCGTGGCGGGTACCGTACTACCGAGAAGAGGCTCGTCTTGAGGATGTGGTCCTGTCGTGTCTGCAGTGGTCTTCTTGTTGTACGTACTACCAGCTTCTTGTTCGCCGGCTGCTTTCAGAAGCTGACTTTGCAGGGTCGTTATGGTCGTGCTGATGCCACCTAGATTTCTACTTCCCCGACTTGTTTTTGTGCCGCTGGGTCGTTCATCTTGACAATCGGAGTTCGCACGAGGACCTTCCCGTAGAACAAGAAACTCCTCGTCGCGAAAATAGCTGTAGTGCGTTACAGACGTGCGCGCCGCGGTGTGGAGCACGTGGTCTACTTCCGCGATGTCGATGCCCTTGCGGCCCTGGTGTCGAGGATCTTCGCCAAATGTTGAGGATGTTGAAGCAGGATCAGGATCTGCTACAGCAACAGCTGCATGATGTGCATGGTGCTCTACTAAATCTACACTGTGAGGAGCGCTCTGTTCTGAAGTTCTTGCAGTTGATGTTCCCGCTGGGGCTGGTTCTTCACCTGCAGAAGTTTTTATACTGTTATCGCCCGGCGGCCCTTGTTCGTGGAGTAAAACTGCCTGTTGTGTGGCAGAGGTAGAAGACGCTGGACAACTTGTAGTTCTTGTTTCCACCCGCCCCGAGCAGGAGATAGTAAAAGTATCAAACCCGTCGGCCTGCTTGCCGAACCAAGCGAGCAGAAAGAGGTCCTGCAAGACCTCAAACACGGTAGTCTCGGACGAGATCACCTCCAACACCCGAAACGCGTTGTCCTCAGCAAAATGCACCGGCAACGGATTCCATCCTAAACGCGAGGACAAAATCTCACTCGTGAACATAAGAGGTCCTCGACTCGGCGAGTGAAGTAGATTGGGATGAAGATAGATGGCGCAAACGGTATTGGTGTGGCCGTTCAGGTGGTTGTATGGTTTCAATTTCTACATCAAGCGCCCAGGAGCACAAGAAAGTCGTCCATCCGCTAGAACTTCAACTTCTAACAACTTCTGATGCTGGGAATGAAAAGAAAATGGAAGTAGGAACGACAAAGAATAAGATCATCAAGAAGCTTGCTCAACATACTCAACAATACACACTACGAACAGGACAAGGACTTCTGCTTCATCAATTATAATGGAGATGCTGGATCATGTACATGTTCGAGGCCGACGATGACGGTAAGAAACTGCTTCAATAAATTCGCACGTAAAAATCATCTTCCACACGTAATAAATCCTCAACCAGTTCGAAAGTTCAAGGAGGACTACAGCAAAACCTCCGGACATTCTGAGTCGCACCATGCTGGGAGGATCATCACGAGGTAGCAGGAGCTGCTTCTTTTGCGAGTAGTAGCACCAGAAGAACGTCGTCGGGAAGAACACTTCACTAGTGGTGCAACTAGATTCGTAAAAAATGAGTATCTCCAACAAGATAAGTACTTCTCAGCCAGAAACAGATCTTCAGACACGCTTCGCTGCTTTCCAACTTCAAGTTCCTGCTTGTTCTTTCCAGTGAAAGTGCATAGCAATAGAGCGGCGCCCGCCTCTCCTTTTCATTATTTTTTCTCCATCGTCCTACGAATCCGGATCCGCTCTTCTTTTGAATCATACATGTGCGCCGGCCTGGTCTGGTAGGAAAGAGACTCCACATACCAAAAACAGCTGATCTACAAAAATAGTAACAATAGCAGGCATTAGAGGCACTATCTCGATGCCAAACCTAATCACTGGACGCAGGTGTTTTCAAATAAAGTCGGTTACTGTTGCGCAAGGACTACAGAACGACAAACTTGGAGGCCAGTTGAAAATCTGCTGTACATAAACAAAACTGTGCTGGAGAAGACGAGAAAGGTAAAACCCAATCTATCCTGAGTATGATAAAACTGCTTTTACACAAAAATAAAAAGTACAAGGAAAATCGTACACAACAAACATCGAATGTTACAAAAATTGCCCGGGGGCCTGTGCAGAGCTTGAAAATAACAGGAAAAAATCCAAAACTGGGCCAGCTTAGGCTTACAACACGGATAAAATACTGCAAAAATCTGTTGGCTCTGCTCCCATAGGTGTCGCCAGGAGACAGTCTCGATAAAACGGGCTTTGCGGCAAGCCTTCAGCCTTTGTAGACGAAAGTCCACGCAAGGTTCGGAAGAACTTGCGCGCTGGCCTTGAAAACAGCGCCGCGACGAGTTCAAGAATGCTACGAATAAACAACGCCCCTGTACAAGTCCTCCTCAGTATGGAGTTTTTACGTTGTAAAAGCAAAAGCAAAACGCACAAACTATGTGGCTAAATTTCTATAATGAACTCGCTGCGATATTTGCTGCGAAAGCGAAAGTAAGAGGAAGACGTAAATCTTCGAGGACTCTTTGCAGCTCTACTACTAGGACGTATTGCTATTACTTCTTGCTGCTTTCAGAACTACTACCTACTACTACTACTACTATACCTGCAGCAAAAACCCGGCATTACCTGGTAATGCCGGCTGGAAGCGAGCCAAAACGCCCTGAAACGCCGCGGCTTCGCGTTGATTCGTGGGTTGGGCCACATCCCTCGCGGTGGCGGCGCCTTGGCGGCGGCGGTTTCCGTCTCCGTCGGGATTGTGCGGACGCGACTGGGGCGCGGCTGCGGCGGTCCCGTGCTGCTGTGGTTGCCGGAGTTCCCGTCGCGCAGTCTCCAACCTCTGCACGCGCCTCGGGCGAAGAAGAAGATCACGGGTTCCCGTGCCGCAGTTCTCGGCAGCCAGGGCACACTCACATGCCGCGCCAATGCAACCAAGGGCGCACCCTACCCCACCAGCACAGGGAACACAGGCGAGAGAGGCAAGCCCCCAAGCAGAGCCCCGTGCGCATCCGCGGCGGCCATCACGAATGCGTGCCCATGCGCTGTCGGTTTGATTCGCGTTTTCGATCTCCACCTGCATCTCAGCCTCTGTTGGATCTTCCATCTCGACAAACAGCTTCCTCTCATCCCGGACCTGCCTGCTGTCGGTGAGAGGAATCTTATTGTGCAGCTCCATACCGTACCGCGTCTCGACACCCCTGGAATGGTAAAAAACTCGGGGATCAGCGCGAATCCACCGTAACTCAGGGTCAGGGTAGATCAGAAACTTCGCAGGTTTGAAGGCAAGCTTGTTCTTCACTGCGTCCGAGGCTTTGGCTAGTAACTTTTTCTCCAATTTTTCGGCCGTGATTATCATGGTACGCTCCCACCAATTGAGGTGAACCCTCGCGAGTTCGTGTCTTCACCGCTTATCACAGATACCAGCTGCAGCTCATTCTGACCCACGCCGTTTTGCCTCATCGGTGGGCGGCGATCAGCCGTGCTTAGGCGAGTCGCACCACCAGCACCACCCGGATTCATGCGCAACTGCAACCCCACGGCAGCTCCCACCATCGTCTCCAGGTGCAGCCAAACGCACACCGCTTGCAGCAATGCCACAAGCTGAGCACCAACAGAGCGAGACGGGCTCGATTCGAAAGAGGAAAGACGCTTCATCATTTTGATTTTGTCAAGGTAACTATCCCTAACGGGAAAAACAGCAACAGGACTAATGAAGTCTTGTCCGAATTATGATGAAAGTTTGAGGCTGTGTGCCTGAGACAACGACAAAATAGCTGAAGAATATAGCGACGCAAATTGAGATTTTTTGATGCAGGTGACAACGTACCACTTCAGCTCAGTACCTCGTTGTAAGTAGAAAAATGAGTAGGCGAGTGGATTTTGGAGGTTGATGGACTTGTATAATCACAATCACACGTATGTAATTGATGTCTCTGGTTGTGGTCAATGTCATATGTCTTGAAAAAATATGTGATAGAACTTTGTAGACAAATCCGCCCGATGATGAAACAGCTCCAATCGATGGAGACCTAGGGTCGGGAAATTCTTGCGCAGGTCTTCTATCGTGAAACTCTTGATGCTCCTTGTCCTTGTTGCTCCACAATACATTTTCTACCGACTGAGATTCAAGGTTGTGTAGGTGTTCCGGGATCGATTCATTTATTCTTCTGGATCGCGATCAAGATCATTTTGCTGTGTTCCGGGATCGTTTCGTTTTTCAGTTTGGGGACTGTGAAAAAACTTTTGTTTGCAACGAGGTGGCCGACAGCAATTAGTGGATCGGCAGGGAAGTCTCACACATACAAAAAGACGCGGATGAGAGCAGGTTTGAAATGTCAATGCCTGATCCTTAGAACACCGCAGGGCTCCTTGCCATTCTTCAATTTTCTGGAGCGGAAAATCGCCTGCGATCATCATTTCAACGTCTTTTGACTTTCACAAGAACCTGCGCTGCATGTTAGATCGCGATAGTTTTTCCATGCAGCTACAATGCTAGTGAAGAGTAGAAAATAAACGGTCAACTGCAAATGTGCCACCTGGGTAGAGAAGATTGATTGCCGCGCATGTTTGGTTGCTTGTTTGGATAGCGCCTGCCCCCGGCGAAGCCGAAGGTCTTGGTCCTCCTGCTCTGTCACCTTTTTTCATGCATGCATCTTTTGAAACGCTCAATTCATGAAAATTGGTCAGCGTCAACAGCTTGGACTTGCAAAATGAACGAGAATAATGCGAATTCAAAACAGCACGCCTCCATAGGCGGCAAAACGGGTAAGACAAACGAAAAAAATGTCGCAGTTTTTGAAAATCGGCCAGCGTCAGCTGCTTGAAAAAGGGCGGAAAAAATCAAAAAAAGCTACCCTCCACGGCTGAGGAGCGATTCGTAGCTGGCAGAACGGCTGAGACAAACGACAAAAATGTCGCAGTTTTTGAAAATCGGCCAGCATCAGCTGCTTGCAAAATGGCGGAAAAAATCAAAAAAAGCCCCCCTCCACGGCTGAGGAGCGAGTCGTAGCTGGCAGAACGGCTGAGACAAACGACAAAAATGTCGCAGTTTTTGAAAATCGGCCAGCGTCAGCTGCCTGCAAACTGGCGGAAAAAATCAAAAAAAGCTCCCCTCCACGGCTGAGGAGCGATTCGCAGCTGGTAGAACAGCTGAGACAAACGACAAAAATGTCGCAGTTTTTGAAAATCGGCCAGCGTCAGCTGGTTGCAAACTGGCGGAAAAAATCAAAAAAAGCTCCCCTCCACGGCTGAGGAGCGATTCGTAGCTGGCAGAACGGCTGAGACAAACGACAAAAATGTCGCAGTTTTTGAAGAAAATCGGCGTCAGCTGCTTGCAAAATGGCGGAAAAAATCAAAAAAACCGCCTCCCCACGGGTGAGGAGCGATTCATAGGCGGCCAACGGCGAGGCAAAGACAAGAAATCTTGAACTTTTCGAAAATTGGCCAGCGTTCAATTTGTGCAAACCGACCGAAAAAATCAGAAAAAACGCCTCCCCACGGGTGAGCAGCGATTCGTAGGCGGCAGAACGGCTGAGGCAAACACAAAAATGTGGCAGTGTTAGAATTCATTCTCCTCGCAAAGATCATGTTCTTCGCGGCTGCAGTGTGTGATTATCTTCTCGTAGGTGAAGTCGTTTCTGTTCATTTCAAACCTGCTGTAGTCATACAATAAACAACTGTACATTTTCACAGCATTATGATCATTTCAGGCGATGCAGCTGTGTTCTTCTATCTTGGTCGCGTTGCGCTGCAGAAAATGAACCCATTTCCCATCCTCACCGCTCCAGATGGATCACGCAGTCTGCTTCTCCAGCTCCCAAGTAAGTCCTTCTCCAGCACCTCCTGCTACAGCTAACCCAGCAGGTCCTGCTCCTCACCCTGCCGTCGTGAGGTAATAGATGCGTTTGTTCGGACACTTTTCTGGACAGGAAAGCCAGTCCGGACCGCACCGGCGCACAAACGTGGACCCGTCGCCGTCGTTCTCCGTGGTTTCCGCGTAGGCACCGATGGCCTGGACCTGCTTATTTCGTAACTCCTCAAGCACCAGCAGCAGGGAACCGGCAGGAACGTTTTCGGACATGTGCAGGCGTGTGCAAAAGACCGCATCAGAAGCTTCTGACGGGCGTATTAAGGTCGCGCCCGGAGGGCGATATTGGTAACCAAAAGCGTGCGAAGCGCCCCAATCAGCGCGAAGGCTACCGCGCATCCCTTGACTTCCTGGTTAGAGGATGAGAGCGCGGCCCTCGCGGGCACCACTCTTGGACCGCGGCCCAAGGGCCGCGGTCCAACACTGCAGCCCGCTTCGGGCCGCGCTCTCATCCTCTAACCAGGAAGCAAGGGCGCGCAAAAGACTGCGTTTTTTGGCGAGCAGCACTCCATCGCGCATAACGTTATGCACGGCGGCACGCTGGCCCGGGAAAATGCGCAAACTTCAAAAATTTAAACAACTCTCGCCATTTCTGGCAGCCCTTTTGGGCCACCCAGATCGGGCATTTCCAAGCGGGAGGAGGATCGCAATTCTGGCCTTCATACACGTCGAAAACCGTGGGGGGTGGACACACCTCCACAGGCTTGATAGTTGTTTTTTTGTCGTCCAATCCTGGTGCCACGGGCCTCCGGACAAATTTGAAAACCACTTTTGAGCGGCAATTTTCAAGCGGCTTTTGCTTTTTCAGCAAAAATTGTCATTTTCAATTTTCAAGCGGTTTCCGGGAACTGGAGAAAATCGGTAAATTTAGTCGGCCGCTTGCATGCTGCGAAAAATAGCGTTTTTTTCGCAATTTTTTTCAATTTCTAAGCGGCCGGAGCTGCCTGCACGTGACGCATTTTCCGCTATAAAACGCATCACACCGTCGGCCCTAGCCGAAAACGCCAATATCTTTTTTCAGATTCAGACTGGGCGGAGCAATAAAACTTCTCTTTTTTACCCTCTCCCCGCTTGATAATTACTGTTTTGGCTGCTTTCGGCAAAACTTACGCAAATTTTCTCAGATCCCCTTTCTGGCGGCAAAACACGCTTGGAAATGCCCGATTTTGCGAGTGATTGCATACTCCCGAGTCCCTCCCATATGGCAACGGCAAAGCCTTCGCGCTGCGTTTGCGATGGATGAGCATCTCGCAAAGAGCGCTTTGCGCGCGGGCAAGCCCGCGCGCAAAGCGCTCTTGCGAGCGCTTGCGCACGCTTTGGTTACCAGATGATTCGACGAGGTGCTGCCGGGGGGCCGGCGCGGGGAGGATCTTCAGCTGGTTGTTCGTCTACGACCTCCACAGGTGGTGGTGGAGATGGTCGTGTTCCCGCGATCAAAACTATCAAGAAGAAAAATCCCCCCTCCCCGTATCAAAACGAAAGGGAAAATCTGTGATGCAGATTTGTGGGTGTGGCCACAAGAAATCAGCTCTGTCATGCTAGAAGGCAAAAGATGCGGACTACTTGGAACGCCACCCAGCACTACAGGAGTCCTGTAGTGCTGGGTGGCGTGGGAAACAAGCCTTGCAGCTTCAGCATGACAGGAGGCAGCTGGAAGTGGGAAGAAGCATGACAAATTGCCTGCAAACGAGGCCACAGCTGTGGCTCTTGGTCTTGGCCTTCTAGCAATACAGGTCGAGTTGTGTTCTCAGATACAGCATCACAAATTTGAATTTCGTTTTCGATATGGGGAGGGGTGATAATTTTTCCTTGTAATAAAAATTTTCCCGTCTTCGTCCACAGCGTCGCTGGTTTGTTTGCTGCCAACCGACCCTCGCCTGATCAACGACTCGTCCTCAAACCTCTGAAAATTGGCGACCAAATCCCGCAGAAACACGTGCAACACCGCGGCTTGCAGCGGTTCGGGAATCGCGTCTGGGTCCCGGCGCCACAGCTCGGCCTGCAGGGTCGGCACCGTGGCAATCTGCTTCAGTGCTTCGTTGATATCCTCATCTGCGTCGTACTCGTTTACTACTAGTGGCGCGTCTTCAGAACCAGAAGTGGTTGCGGTTCTTGCTCCCCCTCCTCCTTGCGGACCTCTTCGGCCGAGGAGCGTCAGTCGTGCTACAGCTTGCGATATGATTCGGCGTCTCGGAATTAGCAGGTGCGACTGGGTGGAGAGTAGTTGCGGGACCTTCGCGTAGAGTTCCGCCTCCTGTCGCTCGGACTCTGTTGCATAATTCCTCGCGGCTGTAGAAGATGTTGATCCACCGCCCGCCGCCGCTGCTTCCGTCAACATTATGCACGGAGCAAAAATTGTTTGCGGAACGACTCGAACGAGAAAGTCCAGGCACGCGTCGAGCCTTTCGCAGTCTTCCTCTGTTCGGGATTGACCCGCTCCCGCAGAGGAGCGCTGCGAGCTGGCACGACTTGCACTTCTACTCGGTGTGGCCATGTCGTGGTTTTCTTGCACTTCTACACCAAAAGAGCAGTTCAATATCGATGCAGTAGAATTCAAGTCGTTACTGAAACGTGCCGGAAACTAGTACTCAAATTGAAAGTGAACGTGAAGCTGCCGCGCAAGAAGACAGTCCTACTTATGAACGATTGTCCAGCTGTACCTGTAGTACCTTGCAAAAATAAAGTAGTGCACAAACGTTGGGACCTGGTCAACTTGCAAAGAAATTGAACGTGAAGATGACCACTAAGAAAGTAAATAGTAAATAGCTTCTCTCGCATCTCTTCAATTCTTGTCAACACCTTGCGAACATCAAATCTCTCGACACAGACACTACATCTACACCTCCTGCTTGTCCTTTGAGCCTCATCCTCCTGCTAGTATAAGTCGCCGCTACATGATGATAGATACTGTGCGAATTTTTCAAAATTGGCCAGCGTCACGCTTATGCAAACAGACCGAAAAAATCAAAAAAACCGCCTCCCCACGGGTGAGGAGCGATTCGTAGGCGGCAGAACGGCCGAAGCAAACACAAAAAATCTCGCAATTTTTCAAAATTGGCGAGCGTCAGGCGTTTGCAAACCGACTGAAAAAATCCAAAAAGCCGCCTCCCCACGGGTGAGGAGCGATTGGTAGGCGGCAGAACGGCTGAGGCAAACACAAAAAATCTTGCAATTTTGTAAAATTGGCCAGCGTCACTCTCTCGCAAACAGACCGAAAAAATCAAAAAAACCGCCTCCCCACGGGTGAGGAGCGATTCGTAGGCGGCAGAATGGCTGAGGCAACACAAAAAATCAAAATCTTGCAACTTTGGAAAATTGGCCAGCGTCAGACATTTGCAAACCGACTGAAAAAATCCGAAAAACCGCCCTCCCACGGGTGAGGAGCGATTCGTAGGCGGCAGAACGGCTGAGGTAAGCGTCAACCTACCTCCAAAACGTAAACGGGATAGTGGAAAATCAATGTAAGTACCGACAGGAGTTTCACTTCATATTCTGTTGCTCGTGCTATGACATTCAAGCTGTCGAACAGTGCGGCCGACCGCACCTTTTTCCATCCTCACATGATGGCGCCGGACGTGCGTCCGTTAGTAAAGATGCCGAGAGCTAAGAACTTGTACGGCCAATGTCAACTTGCTGGCTCGCACCAGTAGGTGGTAGCAAGAACCACCAAAAAGCCGAACCCACGTCTGCGTCACGGCGGCAAGAATGAAAGCAAGCCGCATGTATGACCTATGGAAAGTCACAATCTCAACCATCACTGGTCAGGTGGATATGGATCGGGATTGCGTTTCTTGTGCATAGTCAATAAGTGTAAACTCACATCAACACACACATTGAGCTTCCCCCGGTAGTCGCAGCAGAGGAGGAGACACTGCTTCCAAAACTCTGCCCCTGGTCCACCGCGGCCCCAAGCGGCGTCCACCTGTTCACATTCTTCAGCTCCGCCTCAAATTGCGCGTACACCGGTCTGTGGTCAGAGAGGTAGAGTTGCTCGTTGTCAAAAATCGCGTCGTAGCACAAGGGTTTCAGATTTTTGTTGGGTTTGTACAAAATCCGGTCGGTCCACGCTGGCACGCGCTTTTTCTTGGACGTGTCGTAATCCAGCCTCGTAAACGCGTTGATTTTGTACGTCGGCGGAAAATTGATCGGCATCTCAGCAAACTCGGACCACGAAGGAGCTGCTCCACCGGAGCCGGCACCAGTTGGTGTCGACAAATCCGTGACCGCTCCCGATACACCGCCGAAAGATGATTGGTACCCTGCCGTGGTTCCGGTATCCAAGGAAAAAAGTGTGTGTAACCGTGCAGAAAGAGCAGATCGTTTTTCATATACAGTAAAAACCTGTCATGCGCAGCTACCAGTGGAGAGAATTCATAGGCGGCAGAACGGCTGAGGCAAACACAAAAAATCTTGCAATTTTGGAAAATTGGCCAGCCTCCAGTCTCTGCAAACCGACCGAAAAAAAAAAACCGCCTCCCCACGGGTGAGGAGCGCTTCGTAGGCGGCAGAACGGCCAAGGCAAAAACCAAAAGTCTTGCAATTTTTCAAAATTGGCCAGCGTCCCTCTTTTGCAAACAGACCGAAAAAATCACAAAAACCGCCTCCCCACGGGTGAGGAGCGATTCGTAGGCGGCAGAACGGCTGAGGCAAAAACCAAAAGTCTTGCAATTTTTCAAAATTGGCCAGCGTCCGTCTTTCGCAAACAGACCGAAAAAATCCAAAAAACCGCCTCCCCACGGGTGAGGAGCGATTCGTACTAGGTGGCGGAACGGCTGAGGCAAAAACCAAAAGTCTTGCAATTTTTCAAAATTGGCCAGAGCCAGACGTTTTCAAACCGACCGAAAAAATCAAAAAAAACGCCTCCCCACGGGTGAGGAGCGATTCGTAAACTTGCACTTCGGAAACCGTCTTGCGTTTTTTGCATCTTCACAAACTTACACTCACACAGTTTTTTTCTTGCATACCCTGTGTTCGGAGAGGAATTCATTCCCGTGGTTGGAGATCCCACCTCCACTATGCACTGCAAAAGAACTACCGCACTCGTACTAATCGCACTTCTTATGCATTACAAATCTCTTTTGCAAAGTCAATCCACATTGCAAATTCCATTTCTCATGCTGAACATCAAACTTGTGATGCAATTTGTACGTAGTGCGATACTTTCGCGGTGCCTATCCACTCCACTACTGCTATTCGGCTGCTGTAAAACGACCCGCGGTTGGATGTCGTCTGTTGCACTGTCGTTGTCTTCGGAGCTTTGTCGATGTAGTAGCTGTGACGAAGGAGCAGAATTGCTTGCATTGGTTTGGCGCTCGTGCCCATCCACGACCACAGGGGGTGGCCCTGCCCCTGCTCTTGGCTGCTGAAACATGCTGAGCATGGGCAGCAGCGTGTCACTTGCGAGTAGTTTCCGGTGGTCCGATATGAAATGCAAAAGTATCGTACTACTACGTAGTAGAAATCGCATGACAAATTCCCTCAGCATGAAAAATAGAATTTGTCATGCGGATTGAGCTCCTTGTCCTTGAGAAGGAGATTTGTAATGCATGGTTGCGATTACTATGAGTACGATACTTTTGCACAGGATATCCGACTGCACTATGCAATTATCGGCCGCCTCGCGTTTCATGTTCAAACGAAAATTCAGGTCGCCGAAAAAGAAAACGAAATCTGCCTGGGAATTCGATCCTGGGTGCTGCTGTTGCTGTGAGGAGGCTGGCGTGCTCGTCGTGGTCCCATGTTGAGCAGCTACCGGATGCACTCTCGGCCGATTCTTGTCTCCGCCTCCTCCCCCGAAAAGCCGCGAGAACAGGCTCGGAGACTCTTCGCGGTTGTGCGTGCCTTCCCGACTCTGGTATGAGAGATTCAGGTAGTTGCCGGAGTGCTCCAGATAGTCCCCCTTTTCAACATCGGCAACATCTTCCTCTGAAGAAAACTCATCATCTTCCGAGAACAGAACCCCATCAGAAGAAGACGACGAACTCGAGTTTATTTCATCATCGTCTGATGTTGGACTGCGACTGGAGTAGAGCAGACATTCGGCTGCTGCACCGCGCGACGATGATCTGGATCTACTCGACAGGAGAGAGCAGGGGGAGGAAGCTGATATGCATTGCAAAAGCATCGCACTCGTATAAATGCATTACAAATTTCCTCAGCATGAGAAATGAAACTTGTCATGCGGATTTACCTTAGCAAAGATATTTGTAATGCATGACTGCAATTACTACGAGTACGATACTTTTGCACAGGATAGCTGAAGCTGCATCTTGAAACTGATGATCTGCATCATCTTCATTACTACCGCACAGTAGCCCGCTAGTTGTACCTGGATTGATATGACGAACCGGCAAAGTAGGTGACAGGCGCAGCAGTTGTCCACCTCGAGGTGCTGCTGGTTGTATCAACGTAGTAGAATGATCGTCTTCATCGACGTCGGTCAGTACTATTCGCGCAGGCATTATTTCTCGGGACTGATTTATTTGATCATCATCAGCATCAAGATCGACATCTGGAGACGAGGACGATTCATCATCTTCCCCTGCATGGCTCCTGTGTGCTCCTTCTTCCAAAATCGCGCCCGGGAGTTGAACCCGCATGGACGAGGAAGGTCCGTTTGTTGCTGTGCTGTCACGAAGGAGGTTGTTCTCCTGCGAAGATGCTGTAGTGCCAGCTCTTTCAGTCGAAGATCTTCCAGCATGATCTGCTTCCCCATCAGCAGCTTGCCATGCCGGCCTAGCACGCGAGGCTGGGCTGTTCGCCGTATTTTTTCCAACAGCTGGTGTCCCCCGCCCAGCACGGTGGCCATCGTAGCGCTGACCCTCTTCTTCGTCCTCCGCGCCATGATTGCTCGCCATTCTCTTCGCGGGTTTCAAATACACTTTCGAATAATTCATGATCCGCTTGAACGCCGCGGTCCGCTGCTTCATCCCGGACTTGTGCGCGGGCAGGTGGCTGCAGACGAAGAGAAAGGAACTCGACCCGATGCTATGCATTGCACAAGTACTATCGTACAGACAAATTGCAGGTATGCAAACTAGATGTTCAACATCAACTGTTGATGTTGAGCAAGCATATACAAATTCCATTTCTCCCTTTGAGAAAATTTGTCACGCGATTATCATACTAGTACGATCATACTTTTGCAATGCATAGATACTCATGCCCAGCAAAACGCCGCCCTTGTTCCCGACCAAGTTGCCGAAACCGCAGGCGTATCAACTGTAAAAGTGTCTGGGTCTGGAAGATTCTGACACTTGTCATGCACGTTTTGCATGAGCCATGATGATGTCTGTGATGCATACCCTAGCAATACAGATTTTTTGAGGGCTTCTTGATGCCTAACAAATGCCTTCTCAGCGTAGAAAAAGTTGCATTCTGTTTGCTACTCATGCAATACAGATTTTTTTGGAATCCAAATACAGCATCACAAGTTGCATTCTTCCAGACCCAGACACTTTTGCATTTCATAAGGCGCACGTCGTGGTTTTCACGTCCCAAATCATCTTCAAAATGGACCTGTGCGCGAAGACCATCAAGTGCGTTGCCCCCAGCGAGTTGATCACGATCGGGGTGTACAGTGGGAGTTGCTGGTCTGCTGACCCTAGCCCTTCTGGAGATCGGGACAACTCGGCGTGATTTTCTGCATCCCCGTTTTCTTCCACTTCTATCGAGTTCAGAAACGTCTCAAAGTCCCTGGCGTATTTGGCCAATTTCGACCGTTTCGGGCGGAGTATCGCCCGGTTTATCGTCTGACACGATTCGCACGTGCCGATCACGTAGAGGTGATGCAGATTCTCCTTCGAATGCGGAATCCAGGTGGAGAAATCCGCCGGCGGGGTTTTCCCGTGCAAATTCCAAATCGTCACGAAGAGCCGCAGAGAGAGGTTGTTCGTAGTTGCTGAAGAAGCCGACAACTCTGCCGTTGGTAGCACGTTTGTAGTTGCAGTAGATTCTTGGCCTCTGCCTCTCGTAAAAGGGTCAGAAGACCATTTCGCAAATTCCGGTGTGCAGGTCCAGTACCAGTTGGGGCCGGTGCGGAGAACAGCAGTGCTTGTTCGAAGTCGAACAGCGGTTCCACTCGGTCCCGCCGTAGCATTTATCGCAGGTGGGGAGGAAGACGCAAGCGCTTTCGCATTTTCCTCCTGTGCCAACACCGAAACCTGATTCGCTCTTATTTCTGCCCCCGAGGTTGCGTCGGGCAAAGCAGGTAGTTCGTCCAGTGTCGGATTGTCATCGCTGTTACTGTGTGCAGCTCCTTGCTGCAGAAGTTCTTCGCCGCTTGCAACGGGTAGTACTAGATCTGCGGTATTTGTTCTATCTGCTTCACCACCCCCAACTTGTTCGGGGGCCGTTCCACCTTCTTCTGGCGGCGGTTCCGGCTCCTTGAGACCATTGACGTCTTCGTCCTCTGGCGAAATCGCTTCTGGTTCCTTTTCGAGGTCGTTTGCTCGAAGTACTTTCTCATCTTTAGTTTTGCTCCCGCCTTCGCTAGAGTTCATCATCCTCGCACCAGCCGTACTCCGGCTCGCGGGCGGTGCAGGCGGTGGCGCGGGTGGACCACCGCGACCTGATGAAGCAGCTGCACGAGAACCAACTACACCTGGGAGCCCTTCCTGTTGGTCATCCGAGCTGGTTGCTTGTGCGGTGAATTGGTGCTCGTTGTTTTCTCGGTGATCCGCAGAATCTTGATGCGGTTGTGGCTGCTTTACCTGGATTTGCGTCCCATCTTCCGTTGCAGACGAGGTGTTTGTTTCCTTCGCGAAGAAAATCACGTCGTTTTCGTTAGGAGAATCGTCGCCATCGTCGTGCTCTGCAGCTTGCTGTGCAGGCATTTTGTTGAAGATTCAAAAGATTTTTTTAGAAGATTTACGTGTCGTGTGTTTATTGCATCTACAGCAGGTTCGAGCGATGAAGAAATAACCTTTGCATGGTTCACCACAAACAAATTTGAATTTCGTGCAACACCCGGGGCTGCAACCAGAGCTATGCCGTGCGTCAGCGTCATTCTCAATCCTCCCTCGTGGCGCTGGTGCAGTGAGTGCAACTTTTTCCAAAGAAGTAGAAACATCCCAGCGCAAAAACTCAGAAACTGTGCGGCGCCAACTCAACGGTCCTGCGCTCCAGAAAAAAATCGAGCTGTGAAACGAGTAACAGTGAAGAAAGTAGATTTCGCTCCCGAAACAACAAATATTCGCTGATGCTCTAGTGAATATCGACAGGTCAATTGCTCCGCTCTCAACATGGAAAGGAAAAAGTTTTTTCAGTCTGTTCTGCTGTTGTATCAACCACAAAATACCACCGCACTCCTACTCCGCCGCGTCCACGCGCAAAGAAAGGCACCGCGGCCCCACCGGCCACTTCTAAGAAACACAAAGAAATAAACACAACAACTAACGACAACAGCCTGGCGCAACTCCCTTGGGAGGTAGTAACTGCCAGAGGCCGAATGGCGGAGAAAATATCAGTCACGTGAAAATCCTCGGCTTCGAACGAGTACTCGTGATGCTACTACACATCTACATCAGAGTCAATTTTCGGGTTCATTCGCAAGTATCTCAGCAGAACGGTTGAATTGTTTCGCAGGTAGGGTGGCGGGATTAAAAACTCTTCTTCATAGATAGGGTATATTTTTTGATTGCTGTGGCTGTTACTTGTGTTCGTCGTCGTTGTCGATTGTGCTAATAAATTCCCTCTGTTGTACTGAATCAGTACTGAGCAAAAGGAAAGCTGAAAACAAACTGGAGAGACTACTACAGAAAGCTAGCGGTAAACAAATCGTAGTCGTAGAGCAAGAAATGCCGATCCATGAAAGTTGGCGTTCCTGCTTGTTTTTGTTTGTGAAACTGCAGTGCTGGTGGGTCCGTGGGTGCTCTAGAGTCTAGAGTCATGATTTGAACTTCGCGCTGAATTCTCGACACCACAGTCACTAGTAGAGCACGATCTTGTATTAGACGAAGCTCCTACATCTAGAAGATCGCTACTATCTGCAAGAAAACCTAGAAAGAAAGAGACGAAGAACTATAAGCGACCGAGGAATACGCGACATCGCAAGCGAACGCCAAAGCGAGCGTCCGCTATACAAATTGCAGCTTTTAGTTACTGTCATTTAGAAGAATTCAAAACTTTCGGACTGGGTGGGAGATAGAAGTAGAACTTAGGTAGCACAATAATACAAAGAAAATTCATAGGAGAAGCAGAACAGAGTTATAGTTTTCTTTGATAATTCTTTGGGGCGGGATGTTGTTGGTACATTTTATTTACGAAAAAATTCTTGTTCATATCGATTGGCACTTCATCTATCCTAATTCTACCTGTTTTTGTCGAGTCGCTATAGTTGTACATAGAAAAGCACCGTTGCTGTGCAGAATCGCCGGAATGGGTTAGACTTGAAGAGTCATGTAATTTTGTTCAGCTGTAGTCGTGAACGGTTTTTACGGGTAGTGTTACTAGCACTAGGGAACAAGTAGAAGATCACTTCTCAGAACTACAACAAGATGAATGCGCAGAAATACGTCGAACTAACTCATTGGGTGATACAAGCAGAAATGGTAATATGAACATCGGGTGAAAGAATACAAGAGTCGAAAATTTTGAGGCTGATTTGATGAGGAAACAGTATGCCTACATACAACTGAACTGCTTAGAACTCTATACGTGGAGTCACAACACAGAAAAACGCGGTGATACTGATAGTTCACCTACACTTTCCTATTATTCATTGCGGATGAAAACCTTTAAATCTCTGTCTGTAAGCACTGGCGAAATGGGAGACAGGCACTCTTTCACTTCCTCGTTCTCCGGTACAACTAATTAGTCGCTGCACCCGCACGGCGCCATGTTTTAAACATGGCTTGCATCACGCAACGACGAAAACACGGACACTCTATTCATAAATACGGTCATCTGATGAAGCTCATACGAGTGTGAATCACTTCGTGCGGCCCAATAAAAAGGAATCATTCATTTAAAATCCCGTCCTGTTCCTGCAGCGGTGCGAAGAAACTACACTTGTCTCTACTCCCCCATTTTGTTTCCACTCCGCTGCAAGAACAACAGCACGATCGCTAGAGCCGGTAAATCGACTATCAGTGATGCGTATCAAATGTAAAAGTGTCTGGGTCTGGAAGAATGCGCGATTTGTCATGCAGCTTTTCCATGACCCAGGAGGTCTGGAATGCAGGACCTAGCATGACAGATTCTGTGCGATCTCTCTCATGCCTATCCTGCATGAGAAACTCCCCCCCGACTTGGTCAAAACTGGACGACTTCTGGTAATCATGCAACACAGATTTTTGCATGCTTCAGATTTAGCATGACAACTTGCATTCTTCCAGACCCAGACACTTTTACATTTGATAATGCGCCTCCGGTGGTGAGCAGGCACTGCCGGCAGTATCCTGTGCAAAAGTATCGCACTCGTATAAATGCAGGTCTTGCATTGCAAATTTTTTTCCTAAGGTAAATCCGCATGACAAATTTAGTTTCTCATGCTGGGGAAATTTGTGATGCATTTATACGAGTACGATACTTTTGCAGTTCATAAGTAGACATAGACGACAATCGCGCAGTTCCGAACTTCCCGGGCGGGTGAATATCACGCGGCTTTGATGTCCCAGCGCCAGCAACACCAACAACTGCAGTAGAAGCAAATGTTGCCTTCACTGCCCCGATCGCATTAGCATTACTGCCTTGTTCCACCATCGGCTCGTCGGGCGACATACTAATTCCGCCATCCACCCGTGACACTCTCCGGCTGTGATTATTCTCACTGCTGCTGCTCCCCATGGCACTCACCGAGTACTCGCTCTGACTCGACGTTTCCGGACTGCAGGTATTCTGATTGCTGGTTCGCGCCAAGCTGTTTGTGCTGTGATCAGTTGTTGGTTTCGACATTCTCTTCTTCTTCTTTCCGCCGGTGGATGAGGAAGTTGTGGAGGACTTGCTACCGGGGCGGCTGTGAACCACATGAACATCTCTGGGTGGGTACACATCATCGTCCTCGTCATTGCACTTGCTGGCGCTCCTGATCTGCTGTTCTGGCGAGGCTGCTGAGGAAATAGTAGAGTGGTGCTGTTTTGATGATGAAGCAACTTTTTTCTGCTGGATCGACTCTGCCTTCGCGATTTCTTCCTTCTCCTTCGTTTCCCGCATGTGCATGGCGTCCTTCAGGATCAGCGTCCACTTCGCGATGCTGAAGTAGGTGTCCGTCCGAAATTTCCGGGGCAGATTCGAGTACAGAAAATTCTCCCGGCCGGACGCGTCCCAGATGTTCCGCATCGAATTCATGATCTCCGGCTTCACTATCCACAGGAGACTTCCTGTACATGTACAAATGCTGTTTCTGCATGACAAAATTATTTTCCTTCAATTCTATCTAGCATGACAAGCGGCATGCTCCAAGTTGGTGACGTTTGTAATGCATTTTGTACATGGACAGGAAATTTGTATTGCATATTCACGAGGGATTTCGCATCAGAAATTTCCCTCTTCAGTGCTATTTTCAAATCCTCTGGGAGCGGAAAGTCGAAGATCTTCAAGGCAAGGACCCTGTTTTTGGACAAGGACGCATTCAATTCATCTTCGATTATACTTTCAGAACTTTGTCATGCGTGGTCCTAATCAAGGATCTTCTTTGTTTTATCGAGACGTTCATAGTGACAACTCCAGCAGGACTAATATGCTCAACATCAGATAGCGAATGAAGTCAAAAGCGTTTACTCTTCCGGGCAACAAAACCGCCGAAACGGAGGTCCTGTCGCTCTAGAAAAGAGAGAGAATGCTAAATTTTCCTCAGTTGATGAACACAGAATTCTGAACAAGCATAGCATTCTTGTTGTCGAGAAAGGTTGTCATGCGAAGAAGAACAAGCGAAAATCCAAAGTAGGCAAAAAGAAGTTTATCGAGTACAAAGCCGTGACTGCGACGGAGCTGGCTTCGTGCGCGGAGAACAGACTGGCGTCGATCATCGCTAGCTCCAGTAAGAACAACGCCAACATTTCCATCATGGCCTTCGCGATTTGAAAATCCCGGGTTTGCGTCTCTGCGTCCCGGGTTTTTAGCCACTGGGGGTAAACAATGTGGTCAAATTCCTTGGTCACGCGGATCAAGCGCTTGAGGAAGTCCATGGAGAAGGTTCCAGGGTTGATGTCGAAATTCACCATGTTCAGAATCACCACCTCGGCCTTCAGAATCTGCTCCTTCTTGATCACATTGCACCGTCCACCGTTCTTGTGCTGCTCCTTCTCCGCATGGAGGTTGGCCTGTTGAAAAACGTAACGGTTTGCTGGTGGATTGATTATGCATGGCGATGAGTTTGGGCATGGCGTGCCCGCATGGCAGGATTGCCTGTGTAGGGACAGACTCTCCGCGCACTCGTACAAACTACGGACAAGGGTTTCGCGGGGTCGCCAAAATAGAGTTGCTAGCTACGAGCTTTCGCGCAAAAAAAGTGGCGTTGTCCATGTCAATATGCCATGTAAAATCACGCGGATTGCCGGAGGGAGCTGCAGTACGTCTTCCGGGAAAGCTGCACGCCTCTCTCCCAGCACTATGCCCCATCATCAGGCTTGAACTCAAGCCTTCAATGTGCACACCCGCAGGACCCGAAGTTCGGAGGGCTCCAGCTAGCAGCGCCGCACCGAAACTTACATGGCGTGCCAATATGGCAGATTTGCCGACCCGTGTCGGCTCTCCGCGTGCCCAAGAATTTGAAGCAAGAGCGCTAAGGGGTCGCCAGAATTGCTCTGCTAAACACGGTCTTTCGCGAACAAAAAAACTACGGGAAAGCTTAAGCTTCTTCGATGAAATGAAGTGCCTGCGACCCTATCAACACAGGCCACAGCCATCTGTGCAAGGATTGCCCCCAGCAGTAGCAAAAATCCACCCCCTTGCCGACTGCCAGAGCCCGCCATGTGTATCGTGCCCGCCTCGCACACAGATGACAGCGCTCGACGCGCTACATTCCGATCATCGAAGCTTCAGGCTCCTCTCAGATTGCACCGCCCGCAGAACCCGCCTCCACCCAGCTTGACCCCCCAGCTAGCAGAGGCGCCGCAGTGTCGGACATGGTGCGCGCAACATGCAGAGACGCGTGCTAGACACTACCGGCATGGTACTTGCACAGGAAGGAAATGACCTCACCGCGTCGCCAGAATAACCTCTGCTAAACATGACTTTTCGGGTGAAACAATAGTAGGAAAGATGAAGAATAGCTTGTTCTGAGAAAAACTGGAAAAGAGAAGTGAGTACCTCCACAGTACTCGTCTATTCAAAAAGCACGCGGACTGCCCGGGCATCATATCAACGCCCGACACGCTACGCTCAGGTCCTCGGGCTGATCAGATCAGGCCCTCTGACAGCGCACCCGCAGAACCGCCTGAAACTTGATGGCTAGCAGAGCGATTGGGAATCAGCCGGAGCACTGTCAAGCTCAGTCTCGGCGCGTGAGAGGAGCAGAAACGCGCACTCGGCGCTACCCGCGTAAATGAAAATGCGGAAAAAGGATACGAGGCAGGTGGCCAGATTACGTCTGCTAAACACACGACCTCGGGCAAAACCAAAACCTTCGACGAGGATTTTTGGGCAGGCTGTAGCTGTGCCGCATCTTCTAGAGCAGAATCCTCTTTAGCTATACCCCGCACGCACGCCCGATCTCCGCCGGGGATCAGCAAAAAACGCGCGGACTGCCAGAACAGCCAGAGGCCGCTCGACACGCTACGCTGAGGTCCTCAGAGTGGCCAGCTCCTCTCAGAGCGCACCCGCGGAACCGGCTGGGCTCGCAGCGGCCGGGGAATCCAGGCCAGCCGGAGCCTCAGATTCGGCGCGTGCAAAGTGCAGATATGCGCAGTTGTTTGTGCTACCCGCGCGAATTAAAGCGAGGGAAAACGCCGACTAGGGTAGCCAGAATAGCTACGCTAAACACTGGGAATTCGCGGAAAATTGACAAAAGTGGACCAGGTTGTCGCGCAGCTGTGGGGGCTTAATGATCTCTACAATAGAAGCGCAAAGCGCTCGCTTTACCTATAAATACCCGCTCGCGCTCGCGCTCGCCCTGTTGACTGCAGTAAAACTGCACGGACTGCCAGGACAGCCAGAGACTATCCGACACGCTACGCTGCGGTCCTCAGGCTGTTTAGACCCTCGCAAAGCGCATCCGCAGAACCGGCTGATCTCGCAAGGGTGGTACCTCCTCCCGAGGAGCGTCAGCATCGGCGCATGACCAGAGCAGAAACACACATCTCGTGCTATCCGCGCCGATTGTTTCTTCCGAAAAATGTCAACCAGGGTAGCCAGAATAGCGGTGCTAAATGCCGCAACTCGAGGGATGAAAAGCGCTCTTTTATTCCCCTTTGTTAGGGAGAACGACAGGCAAAGGAGTTTGGGCCTGGCCCTAGACTATTTCGCTCCCTCAGGTGGCGCAGGAAGAGCGGCTTTCCTGCTGCACTCCCTCTTCGTAGCAGAGGACACGCTTTCACGGAAGGCGTGCTTAAAAAACGCTCTTCAACTCCAGTCATACAGATGCCTCCTAGAAGAAACTAAACAGAGACCTAAATATCGCTCAATCTTCACAAATTAAAAAAAGTAGCACTGTCCTTCGCCACACTAAGAAGGCCGGGAGAGTTTTGCTTGCCAGTGTGAAATATTAATTCACTGCCTCGTACCAAGACAAGGCCGTGAAAATATTAAACTACACCAGCAATAACCCACACCTTCAACTCTCAAGGGCGAAAAGTGCGCATTTTGCGACCTTAAAATTCCAGTCATGTAGTTTCTGAAAACCAGAAACAGGCTGACCAGAGGAGGTGTACACAAAAATGCGGTTTGGTTTTGCATTGTCGTAACACAGAAAAGCAAAGAGGTTAAAGCTTATCTGCTGACTAGAACAATGCGTAAGATGGTCGTGCGCAACTACTAGTAGAACTCGTCACATGGTAATCTCGCACAATCATCTGCTTGACGTTGACCGACTTCTACGACTTTTTCTTTCACGTTCGCTCCTCTATCTAAGTACGTCTAAGTCTGTTGATACGCACACACAGCATTACAAGCACAAATTTTCTTGCAGCATCTGCAATACAAATAGCCTTCTCTCTATATACCTGTTGCAACAACTGCTCGATTTTCGGCGGGTGGATGTCTTCGTACTTGCTGGCGATCAGGAAACCTGAAAAGTTCAATTTCTCATGGGAAAAAGCACATCAAAAACCATCTACTTTCTCATGCGCCGCAACGTAATGAACTATTCAAAATCGTAATCGAACCGCTCTCCTGCACATCATGAAGATCGAAAGTTGCACTATCAGACTAGGTGGGAAAATGTCTATCCTCTGAACCAGAGCCGTAGCTACTAGCCTCAGTGCGAAAGACTAATTTATTGTTCCATGTCATCACTGTGATTCCGCATACAGCTGCGTTGTGCTTTGAAGAACATGCGGATCTACTTGATGCGAGCAACAAGCTTTGATCTGCCACGCACGATCGCACCATTTTTGATTGCATTGGGATCACACAAAAATGAAAATCACTACTTAGTAAAAATAAGTAAAAGCAAATTTATACACGCGATCCCGGTGATGTACAGTTCCTCCTGGCCCATGATCAGGTCCAGGTTCGAAAAGGAAGCAACCCTGTTCCGTCCGCCATGTTGACTTCCACCAAACCGGCTTTGCTGTCTTTCCAACAGCTCCCGTTCCTTCCGCTGCTGGACCTTCTGCTCCTCGACTTTGAGCAGGTACCGATCCAGTAGAGAAACCGCGATGAACAGCGTTTCTTCCCGGCATTTGAAGTGCAAGTGCACGTAGATCAGCCAGTCGACGAGTAAAGCACGCTTTCCGACGTCGACAAAGTGGGAAATGTGGGGGATCGGAAATTCGCTTTCGCGGGCTTTCAGGTATTTGAAGATCCGGTGCTCGTACTCGGTCAAGGAACCTTTTGCATTTTGATTTTTTGGCGATTTTTGTAAATCAAATGGTATTTTGCGATCGTAGTTTCTCTTTCTCATCATGAGCATCGGTTGTACACAAGGAGGAGGGAACTCTATCATGCACCGTTTTCGCATCACAAGTTGTTGCTAACTATTACGTGCAGCTGTTCATTATCACGGCAATTCATCATTATACCAACATCCGAGCTGCGGCGCTTCCTCACAGCATCTTTTGATGCTGCCGTCCATTCTGGACTCGTCACCGAGTTCGCCGCCGACCGTTTCTTCGACTCTTCAGACAGTAGCTGCATAAGCTCCTTCATCGTGCGCCGCGTGCTCGGCTCCTTGTCCTGCTTGTGCACGACTCCCGGCTTCTCCTTCTCAGTCTTGCCGCCGTTATGATTATTACCAGACTTTTTATCCTGGTACCCGTCCTTGGCAGCGCCCGCGGCGGATGAAACAGCGATAGCAGCCTTGTCGTCTTCCTGGGTACTACTGTTCTTGCATTCTCCTCCCTCCTGCGGCTGCACAACCCCACTGGTCCTGATCTTTTCCAGTGCAATTGCGGCTTCGGACAAATTTCTGGAAGAACAGGACTTGGACCGCTGACGATGGGCCGGCTTGTCATGCCTGACATTTCCGTGGTGGCTGTTCCTCGTGTCCACATCGACAATCGGATGATTTGTGGATTGATTTAATGCATTGTGTTCTTTGCTGTCTTCATGTTCTTCATCCTCCATTTCTCCCTTGCTCAGCAGATCAAACGCCGACTCGTCGCCGAAGGAAACAGCGCGATGGTCTCGGTTGTTGTCACTCGCATTTTCCCCCTCTTCCTGCTCCTCCGAGCTTGTGATAACTGCTGCACCGGGTTGACTGATGATGTTCATCTTCATCACTTCGTCATGCATATTCGCATTGTGGTTGGTTTCGCTTTCCTCCACCATCACAACTCCCGGTCCAGTTTTGACGCTCATCAGGCTGACGTCGCTGTCGCAACGGGGTTTTCCAGACATGGGCTCCTGGGTAGTGTTCGTGGAAGTCGGGCACAGGAGGTTCACGGACATGTCTACCTGCTGCTGGGACGATGTTGAACCGCGGCTGGAGGGCTGAAATATTGCGAGGTAACATCATCCGTGTTTTACATGTTTTCAGAATCTTCATCAACAATCGACCGCCCTTCATCTCCTTTAGTTTGGATTTACCTCTGTCTGAGTCTAAAGCGGGATTTGCATTTCATATACAAATCGAAATCTTCACTTTACCTTGTTTATTTCCCTCCGCGCAAAGAGATGATCCCCTTTCTGTCCACCACTCCGCAAGTCCAGCATCGCTTTCGCCTTCCCCGGATCGACCTGATTCGTTTTCCACAGAGTCCTCGCGCAGTCTAGAAACAGCGACTCCGAAGCGTGTTTCCGCAGCGGTGGACCCTCCACATCGCTGTCCTCGCCGACTTCCGATTGATGATCTCCAGCATCGGAGTACGTACCAGGAAGACCACGAGTAGAAGATTTCTTCCCCCCGCCGTAGTGCTTCTTCCGCTTCAACGGCGCTAGGGGCGCGGAGCTGGAAGTCGGTTGCGTGATCGGGTTGAAAATTGGGGGGTTCACAATGTTAGTCGCAGCTAATTGGGCCGTATTCGACGTACCGTTGGTGATGTTCGTCCGCAGAGAGGAAGCCGCCTTCATCGAAACACGATTGTCAATCGTGTTGGACTGCGACTTCTGATTTTGCCCCTCCTGCACCGTCTGCACATGCACACCACTGCTTCCGATCGGCTGCAAGGGCATGCCGGGTTGCGGTCGGAAGGTTTTGTGCAAATTGTTGTTCCGATAGTCCCTGTCGCGCTTGTGCTGGTGATGAGTTGCAGTAGAACCAATTTGATGACCACTACCCGAACCCGACGCACGGACATGCACGATCCCATTAGTGATTGCGGTCGTGCTGGGCACGACATGCGATCTGCTGTGCTGGGACGAAGAGGAGGAAGAAGTGCCAGTGGTACTACTACCGCTAGCTGCGCTAGACACCGTCAATCCCGGCATGATTTCGTTCTGTTTCATCTGCTGATCGACGTCCCCACTGCGAATGGCCGTCGTGCGATTCAACATCTTGTTGTCCGAATTACCATTTTGATTCTGGGTGGAATTGTTGGTGTTGCTACTATTCGTGTTCCCTGTCGTTGATGAAGCAGATGAAGCACTACCTGCTACGTTGATATAATTGCCAGTTCCTTCATGTTGTTTCGCGGTCGGTGGCCGACTTGTTTGTGCATCATAGCACCGGTTGTCCTGGTAGCGGTTTTGTTGATGATGTTGAGAAGTGGAGGTTTTGTCATGCTGCATCGCATGGTACGCACTGCGCGAGCGATCACGCGTGTTGAAATGGTGGCTGTGGGAAATGGAAATGAAAAGAACTCTCTCGCGTCTCTCTAGAACTAGATTGGAAGTGTCACGTGCACTATTTGTACTTCTACCTAGAGTCTGAGTTGGTGTCGTGCCGCCATATACAATTCTTGAAGTGCCAGAGGTAGAAGCGTGTAGCTGTAATACTGCTGCGTCTTTCACTAGGACACGAAGAAAGGGAGCTGCACCTGCAGATCAATCAAAAACGAACTGTTACAGGGACGTCAAAAAGAAATGAAAAATTACGCTGCTAGGTTACGCAAAAGTCGCGCTGCCGGCGCAAAGCTGCTCGCTCTGCCCACGCGGAGTACCACATATATCATGCTGGTAGCATATACAAATTTTACGAGGATCGAACTACGAACTGGCCTAGTACAGATGAAACACAAAATCCTATATCCAAAACCAAAAGAGAAGAGCTCTTTCCATTTCCCTACAGCCATTATTCCCGTCGTTTTTCGACCCGGGCTTCCACGATCCGTACCACTGCCCTCCGTAGGTGCTGGGGTGCATCATCATGTTCAGGTGCTGCTGCGCCAGCAGATGCTGATTGTAGTACGCATTCACATCTCCGTACATGTCCGGGTCGGCGGCACCGAGGTGGTCCGCCATGTTCTTCTGCATCGGATGCACCCTGCTTCCCGAACCGGAAGTGTGCGAGGAAATCATGCCCCCTGCATGGTTGTACGGCGCAGTGCCTCCAGTGTGCTTGCTCACCCGGTGGAAGATGGTTAAATTCTCGTTGTCGCTGTAGGAAGTGTAGTAGGTGTGCTGTCCTCCTCCGGTGTTGTTGTGATTCATCTGCGCGGAAGATCCAGACCGGGACTGCTGGTTGCTACCGCCAGAAGTAATCGTGCTGCCGCGTTTGCTGCTCATAGTCGTGCTGTCGAAGAGCAGCGCGAGGTGCGGATTTTGTTTCGGTCTTTCTTGAAGCTTTTTCTCACCTGCTGCTGCTCGTCGTTAGAAGAGGACACGACACAGAACGAAGCAGCTGGTGTGCGGTGGATGGAAAGTAGTAGTCTCGAAGACGAAGATGACTGTCAGAGGCGAGAGGACTTCTTCGGGGGTAGTACGAGTTGTACACTTTTGCTGTGATGCGGAAGTAGTTGACTCTGAGTTTTTGTTTTTATCAGCTTCTGTTTTTCTATCTCTACGTTTGTTGCGTACGTGCTGTCATCTGATTATGAGCGACAAAGTCGGAGCTGAAGTGGTACGAGCTCCCCGAGCGTCAGATTCTCTTTCAGGAAGAAAAAAAGCCGCACTGTTTCATGAGGTCAGCTGCAAGTGTAGTAAAAAGCAGAAGGCAATGACTCAGAACGAAGATCAGCACGTACGCTTGCTGGAAAGCATACGCACCGTGCTTGCATGATTGCATACAGCGAACCAGAGACCACGAGAAACGATCACTACGTCTGACTGCCACTCCAAAGCCAGCAAAATCTCTCCAATGATCTCCCTCAAAATTGCGTATTTTGCATACAAATCTGTCCACTACAGCGAAAAGATTGGCCACTCCGTCTCAACAGAAAGAAGCTATCGCGTGCTCGTGTCGCTCAATCGACAAACAACACAAAGATATAAAAATCAAACACATCTTCTCAATCGCCAGTGGCAGGTCGAAGGAAGAAATCAGAGGTCGGGATCGCATTGACCACAAAGGCCGCGCGATGTCCCCTGTGATTCATGTCCGCCTGCTTTTGCGGGTCGCTTCAAGCACAAGCCAAAAACGAGGCACCACAAGCTGCAAGCGCTGCGTGGCCAAGGACAGGAGCCTACATAGATTGATAAACAGATACCGGGCGGACCATCGGCGGCCGGCTGGCACAACCCTCCAGAAGCGCCAAATATACATGCGGCCCGCCGGCCACCCAAATCGCGCCGGCCGGCCGCGCGTCTGCGTGGGTGTGTCTGTGAGCGACAACCAAGGCGAAGCGCCAGCCGGAGAAACATGCACCGACCGCGCGCCCCCCGCCGGCGCGGAGGTCGCGCTGTCTTGCCGGGGCCGGTATGGGGCGCAGGGGGGCAGGGGCCGCGCGGCTCGCCCAACTGCTGCCGGGGCGCGCAACTGCGCGGGCCGGGGGCGCGTCGGTCGGGGAGGCCTTCCCGCCCCCTGCTGGAGCACCACTTCGCTGAAGAGCATGGCCGTCGGCAGCCGGGCCTTCGCCTTTGATCTCGCCGGCGGGGCTGCCGTCAAATCTGTCATCAAGTGCGCTGGCTGCCCGAGTACAATCAGGAGCAATTGATAAAATTCTATTGACGGCCTTGCGCGGCTGCATCATCTTCGCCAGCCCCATGGCCACTAGTGCCCCCCGTAGCCGGTTGGCGTACGCCAAGAACAGGCCCGGGAGCACACAGGGGGCGCGCGCCCACACCGGGCAGAGGCGGCCGCCCCAGGCCTGCGCAATGCCAGGCGCCGGGCGGCCACAGCTGGCGCGCTGCCTGGCTCGCCACGGTGGCCCGCGTCTCGTTCCGCGTCGTCCTTCAAAAACAGACTCGCGCCAGCCCGTTCTTCCGCGAGTCCGACCGCCCACGTATCTGGTTTGTTCTCTCGTCCGATTAAAAGTCATGCTACAGCTACACGCATATGCCGTGTTCTACTGAAAACAGCACTCTTTTCACACACACTCAGAGGGTGGAAATAGCTCTTCTCCAATCTCAGTCAAAATCACGACGTGGTAGTGGTCACGCGTACTATGCCGACAGCGGAAAACTCGACTGGGACTGCAGAACGCTCAAAGAGAGGTCGTTCGACGAAAATCAGAAACACGCAGTTCGATCACTAGTGAACGAGGTTGACGACGAGGCTACGAGGTCCTAATATGCGAAGTTCTTTTGTTTCTTCGCTGCCGATTTTTGAAAAACTATTTTCATCCAGAAGTCTGTAGAAGTCTCTGTGCGGCGCGCAATGCAGGTGCAATATTGTCGATGCTTTTTCTTTGGCGTGTATGTTGCAGAATATAAATGAAAGAAACTGAGGGCTCTTTGTACCTCCTTCCTTTCTGAAAAATCGTTACGAGTGTAATGTTACGAGAAAACTGGATGGTACATCTTTGTGCAAAATCAAAAAATTCGAAAATAAGCAAAATCATCTTGACACCAATCTTGCCCGCTTTCCCTTTCCCCAAAATCCAAACCGCTAAAACGGCGCGGGCACAAGGCCTCTCGACCTGGTTCGTGGAGGATCCAAACTCCTCGTCCGCGTCCTCTGCGAAGCGTTCCCTCCCCCCGCCATTCTGCTACTTCCCGCCACTCCCGGTCCTCCTCCGTTGTTGTGCCCGCCTCCGTAGCTTTCCCGGCTGTTTCTGCTGCCTCTCGCGCTGTTCGGCGGATAGTGTCCACCATTCGGCGTTCCGCGGGAAGATATGCATTGCAAATATGTCTGGGTCTGGAAGAATGCAAGACTTGTCATGCTTGTCTGGCATGAGTGTTAACTCTGTGATGCTTAGGCGCGAAAAGATCCTCTTGCCTGTCATGCAAAAATGGAGCCTGCCATGCGAAATACGCAACACACAGGAGCTCAAAAACTTGTCATGCTTGGTCACCTATTGCAGTGAGCTCATTAATCACAGAGTTGCATCACAAGTTTCCAGACTCAGACATATTTGCAATGCATAGAAGAGAGTGGTCGGGCGCTCAAACCAGGAACGACCGGTGTCGTTGGGGTCGTCGGCGGCAGCTGTTTCACGGCGGCGCCCGTCTGCGGCCTGCGCACTACCGGCTTTGCGAACGCGGAGAGCTCGGTTTGGCAGGAGGTGGTGGTTGTTCTGTCATTACTGGCTGTACTGGAAGGGAGGTTGTTGCTTTCCCCAAAAGTTGTGCTCGTCGTGCCGCTGTTCAACGAAGACCGAGATTGGACAAAAGCCTGTATCTGGTCCCACATACCGCGGATGTACTCCGCTTCGGAGGCGTTTTCCTGGGCGGCACTGTAATGTGAGGCGATTGATGAGTATCATGGTATGGTATGGTGATGGCATCACGGCAAAACGGGGCAAAACGGGTGAGACAAACGAAAAAAATATCGCAGTTTTTGAAAATTGGCCAGGGTCTCCTGCTTGAAAAATGGCCGAAAAAATCAAAAAAAGCTCCCCTTCGCGGCTGAGGAGCGATTCGTAGTTGGCAGAACGCGCGAAGACAAAGAAAAAAAAAAGTGCAATTTTAGCAAATTGGCCAGCGTCCACTACTGCAAAAAGCACTGAAAAAATCTGAAAAAGTGCCTCCGCACGGCTGAGGAGCGATTCTATTTTTCGGCGACCTCCGCACGGCTGCCAATAGATACCGATTCCGATATCGGAATCTCCATGAGATGAGCAGTCGAAGTGTATCAGAATTCAAATACGCTTCCTCCTGCTTTTCCATCTGCAGAACCAGGTGTACGAGCTCCGCGAGTTCTGCACTATCAACTGGAAAAATGTCTGGGTCTGGAAGAGTGCAAGTTTGTCATGCTTGTCTGGCATGACTCTTAAATCTGTCATGCACGTTACTCAAGAGCCCCACTTTTCTGTCATGCAAAAACGCAGTTTGTCAATGTCATGCAGAATCGGCATCATATAGAAGCTCAGAAACTTGTCATGCTGACCCAGCACTTGTGGCCTCCTCATGATACGCCACCCAGCATCACAAGTTTCCAGACCCAGACATTTTTACAAACCATATGCACTAGACGCGTGCAACTGCTCGTTGAGCATGTCCCGTTCAGTTTGTGACATACCGGTGGATTATCAAGTGCAAAAATGTCTGGGTCTGGAAGGTTATAACTTGTTATGCTAAATCTGAATGATGCAAAAATCTGTGTTGCGTGAGTACCAAAAGCTGTCCGCTTTTGACCAAGTTGAAAGGGAGTTTCTCATGCAGGAAAGGCATGGTAGAGACCTCAAAAAATCTGTCATACTGGATCTCGCATTCCAGACCTCATGGGTCATGGAAAACCTGCATCACAAATCTTGCATTCGTCCAGACCCAGGAGACATTTTTACATTTGATATGGATCCTGGATCGGGAAGCCGGTTTTGGAGCTGATATTTTTGTGATTCAAATTTCGCAAGAGAAGTAGACCATCATGGTAAATTGTCATGCTAGTTGTAGTACACGCCAATGATTGAATGAAACCTTTTGAATTCGCATGCAGAATTTGAATCATGCTGCATCACAGAAGATCATGAAGAAAATTACTTATACCTCCTTCCCCAATTCGTCTCTTCTGACGTAGTCAGAAATGCAGCCTTCTCTCCTGCCTAATTTTCCCTCGTAAATTTCCATCTCCGCGTTCAATTGCCGCATGCCGTCGAGGTAGGCAATCTGTGTACAGTAGTGTACTTTTTCTCACGCAGAGCCCTTAATACGAAATGGAAGTGCGTTTTTGCTACAGAAGCAGGATATGAAAAATAAAAAGCACGCGGACTGCCTAGGCAGAGGGCCCTCTCCACCCGACACGCTACACCTTGATCTTCAGCTTCTGAGAGCCTCACAATGTGCACCCGCAGGGCCCGGAACACCGTACGCGGGGAGCGCCCCCTAAGCTGCGAGGGCCTGCAGCTACCACGCGCAGAGCGAGGTGTTCGCCGGTTCACACAGGGCGCGCAAGCATCGCAGATTCGCGCAGAATGCGCTACCCGCGTGCAAAGTAATCCGTGGGGCAAGCCGAGCACAGGGTAGCCAGAATAGACCCTGCTAAACGCGGCAAATCGGGTAAAAGCTGCGAAACTGAAGCGAAGCTTATTGAGTTCCCCCGAGAAAAGCGCACGGGCTGCCAGAGCTTTTGAACTCGACACGCTACACCTGAATCACCAGAGGGTCTAGCTCCTCCTCGGGTGCACCCCTCGGACCGCCGCACCGCCCAGCGCGAAGCATATTGATGGATTGGACAGGCGCGCGCATTCTGCAGTTTTATGCAGATAGACTGCACTACCCGTACGCTCTTATCAAATGGGCAGCGCGCAAACAGGGTCGCCAGAATACGTACGCTAAACACGGGCTCGGAGAAAAGTCTCGCCAGAAAGCGCGCCCGATTGTGGAGCGCTCTGCACGAGACAAAGCACGCGGGCTGTCCAGGCAGTCGATGCTCTGCTCAGAAGCGGCTGGAGGAGTGGCACGGCAGTGGGACTGGGAGTAGAACTAGAACAATCACGAAGAAATTATACAATTTCCGCTCTCTGGTCCACCAGTTCCTTGTCTTCGTGGTACTGCGGATTTGTCAGAAACGAAGACTGCTCCATCTTCCTCTTCGCCTTCGCCGCCCGTACCTTGCTCTTGCTACTACTCGCAGATGTAGTTTTATTTCCCTCCTTGTCCCGACCTGCAGAAGATTCGTCTTCTACTCCGCTCTTTTTTCTTCGTTTTTTTCCGCCAGTTCCCAGCAAAGCCGCAGTGGGGAGGATCCTCCCCTTGGAATAGGTGGACTTGATCGCCAGGTCTTTTTCAAACGCCTTTTCCAACGAATCCAGAAACGCCCTGTACGCGATCAAATCGTTGCCCATGGCGGATTCGGTCGTTTTGCACTTCTCAATCAGCTCGTGGTATTCCTGGTAGAGTTAGAGTTAGAGAGTTTGTGATGCATAAATTGACGCTCTGAGGATCGGAAAAGGCAAACACTTTTTCGTGCAGAATCACATTCACAGCCAGTCGTGCACCATCCAAATCCAATATCAAGTGTCTCACAAACCAAACCGCACAAGTACCGTTCTCTCCGTGTGCTGCATCCGGTAAAATTCCACCCTTGCCTCCTCATTGCTCCTTTCCTGTTCCACCAAACCGCTCCAGGCGGGCCCCCGGAGTTTCGAAATTAGGTCTGATTTGTTCGAAGTGCTGGGATAGTTGTTGCTATTTCGTTTTTTCCCACCACCCGCAGCTCCACCAGTTCCAGCACCACCCATCGCGTTGTCCAGCGCTTTTGCGTACATCTGCACCTTCTTCAACGCGGCGAAGTGCTTTTTCCCACCTTTTTTGACACTTTTTCGCCATTCCTGCAGCTGCTGCAACAAAACCGGTATCTCCTTTTGCATCTCCTGCTCGGACAACTGGTCCACTTGCAGCTGCAACTGCGTCGTGCTCATGCTTTGGATCGAGCTGTTTTCGTCGAAAGAGATAGTCGATAAATTCTCCTGCGGCGAAGCAGACGACGTAATATTAAATCCCGGGTCCTCCGCGGGTCGTGGGCTGCCGACGGACGGGCGGCCTTTCGGGATGTTGGGATAGGCGTACTGCTCTTGTTGACTATTCACGCTGTCGGGGGAGGAAACGGTATTCACGACAATCTGCGGGTTAGTCTTGCCGACTAATCTATTACTACCTCTTCTCGAGCTCGAACTCGACGCAGGTGAGTAGCCCGTCTGATAATTCATCGCGACGTAATTATTGCTATCGACATTCGGCGGGGTCCTGGACCTTGTCGAGGTCAAGGCCTGTTTATCTGTCGATGCGGACTTGCTGTCGTCCTCGTCTGAGGTTGGGAGAAACGGGTTCGGTTTTCTACTGCTACTCGAAGTGGTGGTGGTGAAGCCAGAGGTTGGGTTTTTGTTCGACGATGATGTTGTAGTAGTTGATGGCTTATTTATTCCCAGCGCGTTCATCACCTTCTGGCTCTGCCCATACGATCCCTTCGGCACTACCTTTCCGTCGAAAGAGAGCTCATTCTCCTCTGCAATCAGCAACTCCCCGATCTCCGGCGACTTCTCCGTGTCCTCATCGGCGGACGAAACCATGCGTATCTTCCCATCGCTGTTCAAAGATTCGATGTTGTGGTACTCTTTCGCAATCGCGCTTTCCATCTCGTCCCGGTGAACAGACGGCCGGGTGATGAAAAGCGGGTTGCTATTATTTGTGTCTACTGCATCTGCTGCGGTTTTCGTTTTGACGTTTTCATCTACTATTTCGTCCTTCATGTCCGGCGGCGGCGAGATCGCCTGTCGGCTGCCGAAGCTGTATGAGAGCGCACAACTCCCCCTCCCCCTCATTTGTCATGCAAAACCCCAAACCCAACTGCTTCCCTGTGGCACTGTTTGCATGACAGATTCCGGAAGCCCAAACAGTACTACAATAGGCGCATGAAGTTGTCATGCATAGGCTATATGTGTGCTGGTGTTTGTCCTGCTGTTCATGCAATGCAAATGAGGGGGAGGGGAGGTTGTGCACTGTCATAAGCTGGGACTCCCGTGCATCAGCGTTTCCCGTACCGTGCCGTCGGAAGTGGTTGTGATCCGGTTATTCGGCCCTCCTGGGCCCTCCGTTTCGGAAAAACTGTACTCGTCAACCTCGTAGGATTTTGTGCGGGAGTGTTTGTTTATTTGATTCGCTGTCCCAGCTGCAGCTTCTGGTTGCTGCTGCTGCTGCATCAGCTCGTCATCATAAGCCGAGTTGTAAATCTCGTTTTCCTGAGAACTCAGCGCCGTCTTCGGACTCAAATGTTGCACCATCATGCCACCGAGCTCGGCTCCGTCGCCGGGAAAATTTTTCGGCGAAAAGGGGTGGGATTTTGTCGATTTCGGACTGGAATTGTTCGACTCGGGGGAAAGATCCGACTTGGAGGACAGAGGACATTACAGTGAAAAATGCCCCCAACCCAGAAATTGGCAGCATTTGTATTGCAGACCTTTCCAATGGAAGCATTCCCCGTCTTGCATGTATCAGCATCACAAATTTGCGATGCTGAATAGCTCAAATTTGTGTTGCAAAGGAGCCCATCAGCAGCCGGGTCTGTTATGCAAAAGACACCTTGCGCGCTGAGATTGTGCATCAGAAAGGCTCGTAGTCCTTTCAAAGGCTCGTAGTCCTTTCATGCAAGACAAAAAACTTTCATTTGGAAACCTTGCATGAGAAACTTTTGCAAATTCCGGACTGCGACTTCTGGGGGCATTTTTCATTGTAATAGAGGACTCGTAAACTTCTCGATTTCCACGTCGTGAAAAACTTGGCCGTTCTGCACGCCCTGCGGCTTCACGAGTTCCTGGATGGAGTGGAAGATGTGTTTGCGCAGAGCCGCGTCTTTCGGGATCAACTGCTTAATGTCGTCCTCGTTGGTGAAGGCGGAGAGCGTTGGACCGTCCACTTTCTCCTCCACGAAGGCGGCGACCTGGGGGTGGATTCAATTTTGATCAGTGTGGATTCTTGCAAGATGTTTGTTGCAAATAGCGCCGAAAAATGAAATCCAAATCCGGTCGCGTCTTCATTATTCTTGATTTTGCAATGCATGCACTAGTAGAACGCTACTCATCCTCAAGGAAACATCACCGGGTAGTTGTATCTTCAAAAATCCTCACTACCACGTTCGAAGGTGCGCCCAACCGTCGGAGCCACTCGCCAACGCCCTCTGGGCCCCACTGGGTCCACATCAGACGGGGTGGATTTTACCAGCGAGAGTAACACTTCTAGTCGGCGAATGCGCATCAATGTCGCTCAATCACTGAATCGAGAAGCAGGCGCGGCTTTGCAACTTGTTCCCGTGTTCAATGGATTTCTCACTCAGTTGTCATCACCTTTGCATGTCTATGTGTTCGTCTTGATGTGATCAGAAGATGCCACCCTGAGTTCGCTTCTCGGTGAGTAGATAGTCAGAAAGAACGGGCAAGACAACAAAGATGAACACAAAGACAAAGACATAGATGCGAGAATCAGAAGCAAACCTCGCCCAGCGCCATGCCTGAAACGCGTTCCGCATGTACCTCGACAAGCGCGCGAGGCTAAGGGCTGTCGGCCAATTCAATGTCAATCGACCTGGGCTCTTCATCCCCATGGAAGAGGAAAGATAGAGCGAGGGACGCAGAACAGGTTGACGCCGACCACACCCAGGCAGCGAGGGCTAATAGGGCTGACCCGACCGCCGCGTGCAGCCGTCGGCCCCCGCGCTCGGTTGCTGCCGGGCGGGCGGCCTATCAATCAGGGCAAATCAACATATAGGACAGGCCGCCGAGGCGCCCCGGGCTAGCTCCCATCAAGGCGGCCAGCCACCGAATGCCAGCAGGCAGGCAACCACTCGGCGCCGGCCGTCCGGCACCGCAACCAGGCGGCTGGGGAAAGCGCAGGCAGGCGGAAGCCTACCAAAATAAGAAGCGCAAGGGAGGCGCCCGGGGGCGGGCAGGCTCTCGGCACAAAACACCACCGAAACGGGCGCCGGGGCGGGCGCGTGGGTGCTGGCCCCCCTTTCCTGCTTGCGGGGCCAGAAAGGAGGGCGCCACAAAATAACAGAAGGGCGGGCCGGCCCCGCCCGGGGGCCCGGATGGCGAAACTAAGCGAACTGCGCGTCGAAATCTGCGGGCTCGGGCCAATCCAAGCCCGCCGGGCCTGGCACCTTACTCAGATACCGGAGCACTGCGGCGCACCGCCCCGCCGGCCGTCACTCCCTTCGTCGGCGTCTCTCGGTCATCCCGCGCCAGGGTTCGGACACGGGTGGGAAGCAAAAAGGCCGGCCGACGCAGTTTGTTTGAAAACCGACCGAAAAAAGCGCCGCGGCCCTGTTCCGCGGGGGGGCAGGCCCGGCGAAAGGTCCCCAGGGCCGCTCCCAATAACCCCGGCGAGAATAGCGGCGGGCGTGCTTTCGCTAATAGGCCGGCCGGGCATTTCAAAGGAAAGACACCGGCGCCGAAATTGCACGGGTGGCGCGCTTGCGGGGCCTGTCGGCCACTGCGATGCCCCGGGCCTTAACGCAATGCAATGCCTTGCACCCGCCCCCGCCCCGCTGGCGCCGGACGGACGGTCGCTCGGCCCACTCTGCGCCGCCGGCCCCGGCCCCAGTAGCGCGCGACAACCGGGCTCCGCGGTATTAAGTTGGGCGGCGCGCAGCTTCGGGGCGCAGTCAACCCACTTGGTCCGGGGGCCTTTTTCGAAGGGCCCGAAAACCCGCCGAACGCCCACGCCCACACGCTTTTCCTTGGCCACGATCCTGCTAAAGTGCCCCCTGCTTATTTGTTCGGCATAGGATTCCCGTCGCCCCATGCCCCGCAACGCTGCGGGCCGAGCTAGTAGCGCGCCCCAGCGGGTTTCCCCGTCTGGCTTGGCGTTTCGCTTGTTGAACGCATAGGACTCCGACCACTCCGCCTCGTTCTTGTTTGCGGTTCAGACGGAAGGCGGAAAATAACTCAAGGCCAAGCTCGATCGACACTAACCCGTTACGCTTGAACACCATGACAGACTAGTGGAACCACAGAACATCTGCGCTTAATCTGCGGCATTATTGCTGTCTGCACGGACTGCACCCGGATCAATGTTTTTGCGGCAGTACATCGTTTTTTAGTTTTCGTATAATACTGGTGAATATGAAGTCGTAGACTTTCAGCAAGATTCTTTCTTCGTCTCTATTGAACATCTTTCTCGGTTCGAGTTCCTGTGCTGTAATCCTGAACAACTCAAAAAGTGTCTGATTTTCTCCGCCGGTTTGCCCTTACAAATGCATTGATTGTAAAGGCAAAACGAGGGAGTTCTGTGAAAACAAGTAGTCACCATCCATCCGCAGTCGAGGCCCTCCCGTGCAACGCGCCCGCACCGGCACCGCCGCTTTTTCCTGAGAACAAAAAACCTCGGTCCAGTCCCACCGGCCCGCCAATTATACTAGAAAAACCTCCTATGTCACCCGCAGTTTCTCGTTTGGTATTCTTGTTTCCTCCTTTTCCCTCTTTGGTGCGGATTTCACAAATTTTTCGTGCGGACTTATCCCGATTGTTATTGGGTCGTCCTTTAGGGACTCCTGTCTGGCCTGCTCCTGCAAGTACAAATCCTTCGGCGTGCCAAATCCCCGGGCCATTTTCAGCACGCACTCCATGCACACATCGTAGGATTCTTCCCTTGCGGAGAACATCACGCTTCCCTTCGGCTTCACGTTGTCACACGCGTCGCAGATGTAGCCGGGTTTGGTTGTCTTAAACCTTTGCAACGGGTACCCCTGTGGGGATTTCAAGCCCTCTTGCGGGTCGTAACTCGCGTAAGACATCATGGAGGGTGTGGACGCGACGGAGGGCGCGCGGGACTGCGATTTCGCGTCTTCGTTATGCATTGCAAAAGGATCGCACGACTCGAATTGCCATGCACATTGCAATTGCATTGCACTACAGCATGACAAATCTATCTTTCCACGTGAGTCAGCACTATCTTGTTCACGAATCCAATTTACAACTTTTCCTTGTGGGAATAAAACTGGTAATGCAATTCATGCTAGTGCGATCCTTCCGCAATGCATATTCGTCGTCTTCTATCGATTCCATCATGGCCTTTTTCTGCATGTACTCCGCAAGCTGGGACTCGGGCACAAAGAAGTCTGTCGAGGAACGATTGTCGATGATGGCTTGCCTTTCGGATGAGGTCAGCTCCCGCGAGGCCATGGACTTGAAGTCATACTGAGGTGAATTTTTGAATTTGATTCGGGGTTTGCATGACAAGATCAAGTTTCAAAGCATGGTTGGCATGACAAGTTCATCAGAGGAAATACTTTATTTTCAATAAGGAAATTATAGAAGAAAAGCTTGCTTAAAAAATCAGTACGTGCTGCACGCCACTTTTTCCCGACGGTAGTACCCCGTCCTCCGGTATGTCCGCCAAACCACCTCTGCTACTTCTCTTTTTCCTGGATTTTGGCGTCAATGTATGAGACCGCACAACTCCTCTCCCCCTCATCTGTATGGTATGAACAGCAACACAAACAACAGCAGAACAGGGGCTTTCGCACGACAAATCAAAATCTGTGTGCGAATTGTAGTACTATTAGAGGTTCCAAAATTTTCCATGCTAGCAGTGCTTACGTACGAGCAGGGTGTGAGTTCGGTATTTTGCATTACAAATGAGGGAGAGGGGGAGTTGTGCACTCATCTCATACAACGGATCGACCTCACCGCTGTCGGCGACTTCGGATCGGTACACGTATCCTGTGTAAAAGCGTCCACACCCCTGAGTCAAGATGGGAATTCTGCTACACAAATGAACCAGGCCTGGCTGTTGCGCATGACAAGTTTGGCCTCAGAGTGTAATCCTGTTTAGCTAGTTCACTAGCATCACAAATCTAGCATGACATGCTGATTGGAGCATGACACTTTCCGCATGATGATTAGAAAATGCTTCTCATGGGGCTCCGCATGAGAAACATCTTCAGTATGCAGAACTGCATGACAACTATGGGGTGGGGACGTTTTTACGAATGATAACACGTTGTAGTTGTTCATTTCCCCCTTTACGTCGAAGTCCTTGGGTGCGGCCTTTTCTCGGGACAAACACACGAGACAGAAGAGAACCAAGACCCACAGTATCCAGTGCAAAAGTATCGTGCTCGTCGTTGTAATTGTAGCCATCATGCATGACCGATCTACTTTCTAAGGGAAAACAGCATTACAAATTGCATTTTTGTTCTTCAGCAAATTTGTCATGCAGTTTATACATAATACGATACCTTTGCAATGCATACACAGACCGGAAACACCAAACGCCGTGTACGCCATGATCTCGTATGAACTGCAAAAGTATCGCACTCGTTGTATTGCAATCATGCATTACAAATCCCTTTCTTAAGCTAAATCTGCATTACAAATTTCATTTCTCATGCTGCAGAAATTTGTATTGCATTTATACGAGTACGATACTTTTGCAATGCATATCTCGCAGGTACCGGCAAATTCCGGCATGCACTCGAACCGCGGCGGGTACAGGATGTTATCCTGATTATAGTAGGGAGTTTTGGATAGACAAATCTTTTTCTTTTGCTATGAAGACCCATGACAATGTACAGATTTGTCATTGACGTTTTGCGTAAACAAACAAATCGAGACTTGAAAAAAATCAACGAACAACCCATCAGTTTCAGTACTATGCACACCAACTTGGGTGTATCTGGGTTGAACCCGGTCAAGCACTTGGGTGTGCACTGGATCGACACTACTAGTCCCTCCTCACACGGCGGATCCGCCGAATTCGCCACGTCCGCCATGACCTGACACCTCATCAAATCTGAACACGCCGGATATCCAGTGTACCCAGCGCTGCAGGTGCCGTTTCTCCGGTGCGCGCCCTGGTTGGACAAATCCGTGTCTATGGTGCCGAAATGCTTCTCGCCCGCGTCCGGATCGGAAACATACACCACCTCGTCGAGCGTCCCGGGCGCTTTCCAGCCCTCCGGCGGGTCGCCGGTGAGACAGGCGAACGGCACGCCGGACAGCTGCCCGTCATCCTGACAAGTTCGGTCGTCCGGCGGCATGGCGTACGTCCCCGTTTCGCAATCGGGCCGGCAAATCTGCCCCCCGACGATTCTCCTCCGCTTTTGGCAGGCGCCGGTCTGCTTGCTGTTTATCACGTAGGGCTGCTGGCACGGGCGCTTGCACTCAAAACGCGTTGCCAAGCCGGATCGGAGACACTGGATCGGCACCGCGGGGTTGGGTTCGAACCCCAGTTCGCAGACCGGGGTGCAGTACTCAAGCTCCTTAATCGAGGACCCTTCTTCGCAGGATGGGTCCGCCGCATTCACGATATCCGTAAACGCGTTGCAGCTGTGAAACGTCATCACGCAGTCGAATTCCTGCCCCGCCTGGTCCCAGGTGCCGTCGCCCAAGCATTCAAACGGTCCGGGGTCCGTCGGCGCAAACCGGTCCGCGCACTGCGGGGTGCAAAACTCCCCGGCGAGGAAATACCGGCCCTCCTTGCACACCCCGTTCGGGTGGGGGTTCGCAATCTCCTATGAACTGCAAAAGTATCGCACTCGTATAAATGCATTACAAATTTCCTCAGCATGAGAAATAAAGTCTGTAGTGCGGATTTACCTTTAGAAAAAAAATTGTATTGCATGATTGCAATTACTACGAGTGCGATACTTTTGCACAGGATATCTCGTCGGTTCGCGCGATGCAGCGGAGTTGCTCACAACGCGGGCCTATGGAGTGCAAATGTGTCTGCGTCATCTGGAAGATGTTTTCATGCTGTTTGTGCATGACACGGAAGCTCTGACATGCGAGCCGTGGCATCACAGGTCGTTTCGAGAAGGTTTCGCAATGCCTGATCCGCATGGCAAATCCCACACTTGGGTGACAGGGAGTGGGAATCTTTATCTTTTGCTGCCTGTACATGAGAGATTAGTGTGTGTTGTGAAATGCGCATCACAACTTCAGATTCTTCCAGAGGACCCAGACAAATTTGCAGTGCATAGGACCTCCGTAACGCTCCTCGTCGCAGGTGCATATGCAGCGGATGGTGCTGGTCGCGGGGTAAGCTGGGTTGGGGACAGCGTTACCACGGTCGGAGCAAAACCTACAGTTTTTATTGGGTGTTTGTAGAAGTCATTAGCGACAGCAAGTTGGTGCCTTGTGTAAGTAAGGTGCGATGCAAAACGCGAACCTACGCCGTACCATGCAGTTTTGCATCACAAACTCGCGTCCATTTCCTAAAAGGTAAAGCTACAACATACCTCCTATCGCAGCTGCAATCCACCAACCTAATGTAGGGCTCCGGCACGTTATTTTGGTTGGCCTCAAATTTGCACTCTAAATGGTCCCACCGTAGCCTTTTCTCCGCTGCTCTTGCGTTGATTTGCTGGGTAGTCACGTCGTTGTAATCTGTTAACCCAAAGGGGTTCCCTAAGTCGTACGTGGGGATTAGATCCCAGTTCTGCTGCCTCCCCACAACCTGGCACATATCCGCCCCGTTCCGGTTTGTATGAAATGCAAAAGCATCGTACTAGTAAAAATCGCATGACAAATTTCCTCAGCATGAAAAATAAAATTTGTAATGCGGATTTGACTTGAGAAAGAAATTTGTAATGCATGTTTGCAATTACTACGAGTACGATACTTTTGCACAGGATAGTTTGTCCCTCGCTGCAAAATCCATCTTCCGCCCATGGCGCAGGACCTACTCGCGTCGGTTTCCACATTATCCCAGTGGATAAACCGGGTGCTGTCCCGTTTCTACCGTATGCATTGCAAAAGTATCGCACTCGTACCAATTGCGGGCATGCATGACAAATTTTCTTTCCGAGGTAAAACAGCACGACAAATCCAATTTGCCATGCTGAGAATGAGAAAATTTGTAAATGCAATTTGTACTAGTACGATATTTTTGCAATGCATATCCCAGGTGGTTCGCTGGTTTACGCAGGTTTCCTTCCGGATGTACTCCCCGTTGTCGATTTCCCGGCAATTTCAAATGCAAATATTTCTGGGTCTGGAAATAACTTGTGATGCTGAACAGTGGATGACGGAAGTATTTCTATTTGCCACTGCAGCCAAGCATGACAAGTTTGATGCAGAACGCTCTCTCATGCTCAGTGTGCATGAGAAACTGTGCTTTTGTATGACCAAACAGGGCGTCTTTTTTGTTAGTCATGCAATACAGATTTTAATTTACTTAAAGGAATGTAAGACTAGCATTACAAGTTCCATGTTTCCAGACCCAGACATACTTGCAATGCGTAGGCAAGACCCCCTGAGTTCCATGCACTCCGGCCCCGCGATATGCAATACAAATTTCCTGTACATGTACAAAATGCATCACAAACTTCGCTAACTCGGAATGTCAAACTTGTCATGCTGACTAAGATTGAAGGCAAATTTTGTCATGCAGAGACAGCATTTGTACGTGTACAGGAAATTTACTGTGGATACGCGATGAAGCAGGTCGTTTCCCGGAGGATTTGTTCCACCGTTTTGGACTTGAAGCCGCCGAGTGGTACCGTTTCATCCACAAGAATCGGGGCGTAACTGCCACACTTCGGGTCCGGTGGCACCGCGTTGGGATTCCAAATGCAGTTTTCGTTTAACTGGCACTCCCCGTCCCGCAAGCTCGAACAGATCGCATACGGATCCGCTGGACTGCAGTATATGCGGCATGTATGCATTGCAAAAGTATCGCTCCAAGTCCAAACTGCATGACAAATTTTCCCAAAAGGAAAGATGAAATTTGTCATGCAGATCTAGGTAACAAAAGCAGATTTCTCAGGCAAGCCTGGCATTCATACGAGTGTGATACTGTTGCAGTGGATAGCACTCGTTGGTGACTAGATCGTGCTCCGCGCCGGTGAGGAGAGGGTAGACTTCGTTGCAGCTGTGATATGATGTTGATGCATGTTCGTCGTTCAGAATGGAATTACTTAGTGCTGAAAAAGAATTTACTTCATCCCAGAAGTCAAACAAGTAGTTGTGCGATACCTACAAATGCGATCACGCTGAGATCTAGTTCTAGAACAGCGACGTAGCGTTAGGATCATGAAAAAGCAGAAAAGCTAGAGAGAACTACTATACACTTCCCAGTAGCTGTAGCAGAAGTCTCTTGGCGTGTTCTTCAGAAGTATCTTTAACGTCCCGACCGCCGGACACGTCCGCCCTTCCGTTGGGGTTATGGCGCAAGCAGAATTTGACTTCTCCTGCTCCGCCTGTTTCTTCTGGGCTTGTCGCGCCGCTTCCTGCGCGGCGGCGGTGGTCATGCAGTGCACGGCGTCGATCGGTTGCAGAACGCTGTCATCGCATTTCAGCACCGGGTGGGATGGGACAAGTTGGTTGTTCGTGCAGTAGATTTCAATTTCCGTGCCGTGCGGAACTTCCGACCCCGGGTAGGAGGTCAGGACCATTTTTTCCGTCAGTTGCGAGATGTTGCACGGTCGTGTGGAGAGGCAAAGGGGGGAAAACAGCATGAAAAACAGCATCACCACGCCGAACAGGAACCAGGTCATCGCGCACACAATCGGTGTGTCCCACACGCGACGGCCGAGCCGCCGCATGGCGCGCTCGAGCTTCGCCATTTTTTATTTTTGTGGCGGCGGTGAGGTGGTTAGGGTGAGGTGCGGAATAAACGGTAGTACTTCTGCGTGTTGAACGTACGAAGAAATGCACCACGTCGCGGAGTCGTTCTCTATCCAGGAAAAAACACCCATCCCTATCCAATTTGTCATGCAAAACATGCATGCGCTCCTTTGTTTGTCATGCAAAAAATGGATGGGGATGGGTGCTTTTTCCTGGATATTCTCCACTAGTAAGCTACAGTCCACCGTCAGTGCTGTCGTGTCCCGGCTGGCGGTGTCTGGCGCGGATAGCCGCGGCCGTTGTTCGAGCGCTGTGCAGTGGCCGCTGCATAGCGTACGTGAGGAAGCAAACTTTTTTGTCCGATATTGTGAGCATCGTTTTCATATGATTTTTTCAAAAAACTCCAGCAATTGAGTAAGAACAATAGAAGCAAAACAATAGACAAACATGCAAGAACTACGACGAGTACGACTAGTATAGAAACTACAGTGGGGGAAAGCACATACTTTCGTCATGCACGATTATATCGTGAAGCCCGGTTTTTGACTGAAAATAAGGAGGTCCTGTTTTATTGCCGGTCGAAGCACTTCAATACTCAGCAGTTTTGATTGTGATTTTCACTTTTGGAGCTCTCATAGGTACTTATATGCTCTCAACCCAGAGCACACCCTCTCAAGTTGCGCTTGCACTCAAGGGCCAGCAGCCCCGTGCACTTTCGCGCATTCTTGCGTCGTGCTTCTTGTTCCCCTTGATCTCTCAAAAATCGCTCGAACTCTCAACCAGAAAGACTGAAAACAAGATGGAGCACGTGATGCGCAGCAGCAACAGCAGCAGTGCTTGTGTGAAAATGTTACTACGGCAGCAGCACTTGAAGATGACGATGTGCCCAGCGGTGGGGTCTATGTATACTGTAATTAGAAATCTAAATTGTGAGCGTTCTTGGGGTGCGCTCTCGGTATCTGACTGCACACGATCAACAAGCAGCTCTTTCATCTCTTTTTTCATTTTTTTCTTCGCACGTCTTTCCTCGTCGTGTGACTTGTTACAACTACAATTACTGTTTTTTATTACCTACGTATACAATTCTTGTTTACTGTAACCTACTCCAATCTGTTTCGTGAAACATGAGAGAAATAGGACCTGCCTCAGAGATTGAAGTCTGTGCGAGATCGCTGTGAGTTTTTTCACAAATTCTTTTCGCATCGAAACGTGATTTATCTCACTATACACCTTTATCCCGAAACAACAAGGAAGAAGCGAAACGCTGAAGAAAAGTCGAAGCGCTAATGACTTTATCCAATTGAATAATAGATGAAGTGCGCTAGCACTAGCTTGCTCAGTACTATCGTTGCCCCATCAAGTTGTAACCGCTCATTGTTCTCGTCCTTTCTATCTAAAACCCGGTCCCGCCCTGTTCAAAGTGGAGCATCTCGATCAGAAACGTCGCTCCAATCACCGTTGCCTTCTGCTGTGGTGTATCAACTACAAATATGTGTGGGTCTGGAAGAGGACCGACACGTTTGTCATGCACATTTTCCATGATCCACGATGTCTGTTATGCATGCCCTAGCATCACGGATTTTTTGAGCGCTTATGAATGCGCATCCCACATGACAAATGCCCTATCCGTGTAGCCAAATTTGACTCCTCTTGCTGCTCACGCAATACAGATTTTTTTTATCATCCAAATGCAGGATCACAAGTTCGTTGCACTGTTCCAGACCCAGACACATTTGCAATGCATATGGTGTCGCTTTGTCCGGAAACCGCACCGAGTAATTCTCCCGGTTCACACACTCCTTCAACCCCGAGAACAGATTCGTAATCTGGGCCTGCGTATCAAATGCAAACATTTCTGGGTCTGGAAGAGTGTAAACTTGTCATGCAGGTTTTCCATAACCCATGAGGTCTGAAATGCGGGACCTAACATGACAGATTCTGTGAGATCTGTGTCATGCCTGTCCTGTGTGAGAAACTCACTCCCAACTTGGTCAAAAGCGGACAGCTTTTGGCAATCATGCAACACAAATTTTTGCATGGTCCAGATTTAGCATGACAAGCTGCATCCTTCCAGACCCAGACATATTTGCAGCGCATACTGCGTGCCCGGGCGCTCCCCGGGGAGAATCTCGTTGGTTTGCAGGTCCCGCAGGTAGAACGGAATGGCGCAGCAGCGGCCGCGACACCCGCCCTGGGAGCAGTCACAGTTGACACAGCAATCACCGCAACAGGTGTCCGGGCGAATGCGGTACCTGGAGCGGTCTTGGGAGAATTTGATTGTGATGCGCTCTTGTGCTTCTGATGCAGAATCTTGCATGTTGTTGGCCGTTCGTGTTGCAGCTATAATTGTGGGGAAGCTTTACAGTGATGGAATGAAGAAAGTGAGTTGTACCTGCAAAAACACTATACCACTTCGTCCCATCCGGCCCCATCACGTCGTATTTCGGCACGAACAAATAGCGGTCGCAGAGGTACTATCAAATGCAAAAGTGTCTGGGTCTGGAACATTCTTAACTTGTGATGCTGTCTCTGGATTCTGAAAAAATTTGTATTGCATGACCTTACTTACCCCTCAACCACTATACCACCTTTACAACCACTACCTCAGGTAGGATCTCGGGGGGGAAGGGTCAAGCTCTAACGGGGGTCGGACCCGAGTGAAACCGTTAGAGTGGCTGCATGTCCTGGTCGAAACCGGAATTCCAAAAGCACGGTATCGTTTCCAGCGGTAAACCAGGCAACACACGACGAACAGACAAAGACGAGGGACTTGGGCAGAGCAAAGGGATAGCTGGGGTCTCCTGCAGCTGAAAAATAACGTCGCGATGCGACTGGACTGGGGTCTCCAGCAGTCCACCAAAAAGCCCTATTGCAGTGGCCGGGATAGGGACCCCACCTAGGACTACGCACGACAGGCCACGAAGAGACGATGCCGAGGAGACACAGCGACGCTCCGCTCCGCTCGACGCGACAAAGCCGCAACCGCGCCGCTCGTCGAGGATCGCTCCACCCCCGCGCCACACCCCCACGAACGACGCCAGGACGACAGAAAGACGACCGCGAGCCATAAACAACTCCCCTACGAGTAATCGCCCCTCACTCGTCTATCCAGCTGGTAAGCACCGTTCAGTTCTCTGTGAGACCCGGGGCTGGCGACCCGAATTCCCGCACCGTAATCAACCCGCCATCGCCACCACCACCTCCGCGCAGTTTGGATCCGCAAAGCCCAGCCGCATCGAAAACGTCGCACCTCGCAGGAGTAAAGAGCCGCACAAACGCGCTGCCAGCGCAGCTACCACGCAAAACCTGAGGTCAATCATATGGAAAGGGGTTACCATGAGGCTACGTAAGGGTCAGAGGACAATCCGCTGCCACAACACAGACCAAGGGATTAGGAGGGGCGACAAACACAAACGAAGAAAAAAAGGAAATATGGGTCTGGTACTATGATCTTTTCATAAGTATTCATGTGAGTGGGTGAGAGTGTGAGACAAACGAAAAACAATAAATTAAAAGTCCCTGATCTCCAGCGCAGCAGGGCGATCCGCTAGTGGGCGCGGCATCCTCGTGACGCGGAGATGTGCGGCAGAACTCCTTTACTATCGGCAGCTCGGAGATGGCGTCCACAAGTAGCGTCGAGTCCTCCCGATCCCCCGCTCCGCCGCAGGGCGTCGACGAGCGCCCCTAGGAACAAAGACCTACACGGAACTCCCAGACCGCCAAAAAAAACCGACGCGCACCGTCTTCCACCCGGCAAGAAGAAACCCGCGAAGAGCTTCTACGTGGGGATCAAGGACACCACAATCGAACGCCATTGGGGACGGCTGGTGAGGGCAGATGAAGGAAGTAACGAGTAAGGCCGGGCGTTATGCCCGCTGGGACCATCGAAGCTTCATTGCGCACGTGCGCGCTTCGGATGGAGGGCAAGTGTGTACTCATTTTTTTGCTTTGATTTTCTTTTAGAGAAACAATCTACAATCTAAGTGTGAGTCAAAAGGTTCATCAGCCGCACCTGATGCCTGTTACAGAGTGCCTCTAAGGATCTTGGATCTCACGGGGGTTGATCTCCACGATGAGTCCGGACGAATTGATCTCACGGGGGTGCGGCCCCGTCTCTAAAGTGGGAAAAGGGCCACAAGACAAGAAGTCTTGAGCCAAAATTTGTATTGCATGACCAGCAAGAGGACTCCAGTTTGTGCTACGCGGAGAGGGCGTTTCTCATGCTGTAGAGGTATCACAAAGCGCTCTAAAAATATGTGATGCTACGGCATGCATCACAGACATCATGGGTCATGGAACATATGCATGACAAGTCTAGAAATCTTCCAGACCCAGACACTTTTGCATTTGATAGGTACTGCGTTTTCCCCAACACCACACCGTTTACATCCTTCGTTTCCAAGTACGGCAACATGCAACAGCACGGCACCCGCAGCGGCCCGCCGTCCCCCTCCATGACCAAACAGGAAACGCCGTTGGTGCACTTCTTTTCGTGTTTCAAAAACACCTCCGGCTGCTTCGGACGCTCGGACTCCGTTTTCTCGCTGTACGCGCCGCACCACTGGTCGTAGCTGGTCTCCCGAAACCCCGGAGCGAAGTGGGATAGGCAGCGGATGAAGCAGCCGGCGGACTCTTTGGCGAACATGATCTCCGGTCCGGTATGGCATTCTCAACTGTTACATTCTCAACTGTTACACGGATTTGTGATGCAAGAATGGCAAAAGTTGTCAAAGCAGGTAGGTTGCACCTGTAGCATTACAAATCCCGCACAGATTTAGGTGCTGTTTAGCCTTTCCAAAATTTGTCATGCGAAATAGCTTCATCTTGTGAGTGTTGATGTTTGTTTTGCATTACAAATTCATGTAACAGTTGAGAATGTAACAGTTGAGAACGCCATATCCGGCGTTTTCCGCGTCGGCATGCTCAAACTCGTGAATGGAGAACTCGTTCAGGAGATCGCAGCAGCACCCCTTCAGCGTCTGCTTGATCAACACACCCTCGCGCGGGCCCAGCACTTTCTGGACCGAGTCGCCGATCTGCGGCGGCATGCGCACCTGGATCGGGGTATGGCGTTCTCAACTGTTCGATTCTCAACTGTTACATGATTTGTCATGCAAAGTCCCCATAAGTCGCCAGAAGATGGTGCTTCGCATGACAAATTCTCGAAGGGCTAAAAAGCATCTAACTCTGTTGCAAATTTGTGATGCGAGACTCGCAAGCTGAAGCTTGTCCCTTTCCATATTATTGCCGCTCGTGCATTACAAATTCATGCAACAGCTGAGAATGTAACGGCTGAGAACGCCATACGGGGGGTCCATCGGCTGCGTGTTCATGTACTCCTGGTTCGGGATATCCACAGTAAACTTCCCGTACACGTACAAAAACAAATGCAGTCACGACTGCATGACAAAACTTGCTTTCAATCCTAGTCTAGCATGACAAGTTGGACACTGCAAGTTAGCGAAATTTGTCATGCATTTTGTACATCATGTACAGGAAATTTACATTGCATACGGGAGTGGCCGCCCGAACTGGTTCACCTGCTGCTGTTGCGGCTGCATCATGCTTAAACTATTTAAGTAAGATATGTTTCCGCTGTTCGAAATGGAATCGCAATGAGCAATAATGAAGAGCTGCGGCGTTTCTACTTCCAGCGCGTCGCGGGTGGCCAGCAGAATTATGCGCAGTAGGGGGCACTCACATCTTGATCTTTTTTGTGGAAGAACTCAAATAACTTCTGACTCTCTACAAAACAAACGCAGCTGCGCCATTATCTCTCGGGAAGAGATGAAACACTGATCGCTCGAGACACCGGAGCGAGTCACACGCTGAGACTGACTCATTGCCGAAATACATGCCACCCTCGAAGTAGACACGTGTTCTGTTCGAACTCCACTCTGGCAGCTACAACATTTAAGAGGACCGACCAAACCGCTTGTGCCTGCGCCCATGCGTTTGAACTTTGAATGAAACACGTAGGCGCAGGCATCACAGGTGCGAACAGAACCTAGGGGCCGAACCGCCATGAGATCTTCAGGCCAATACGACAATCAAAAACGGGCACGCAGCGCCAGCGACTGGCGGGCGCCTTCCCCTTCGCCTTCCACCGCGATTGAAAAATAATTAAAGTAAAAGGGCGCATCAGGTGGGCGCCCGGTGAATCGCGGGAGGCGCGCTGGGCGCAGCCCTAGTAGGGCGAGGGCCCGTGCGCGCGGGCGGGCCAGCCGGCTAACACGGAGGGCCGCGCACCAACGGCAGCAGACGCAAAATCGCCCCGCCACGCACGAAACAACAAAGGAAAGGGAGCAAGCCGGCGGCGTCAAGCGGGCCGGGGCGGCTATGTCTGGCTCGAGCCGCGCCAAGGAAGCAAGCGCCGCGGGGCGCACTGAACTGGCGGGCCGGGCCAAAGGGGCGGGGCCACGGGCGCGCGGCCTCGCCCGGGTAGGGCCAAGGCGCGGGCGCCAAGCCTAGTGCGGGCATTGTGCGCCCAGGGCCCTCGTGCCGCGCGCCCGGACGACCGCCCCCGGCGGGGGGGGGGACTGTTGCAGCCGCCGAGCCCCGTCGGAAGAAACCAGCGCGATAGGATCGTCTCGGGTGCCGGCGGGCTCCAAGTACTTGGCCCAGGAGTTGGCCCACCGGCGGTAGGATCTCCGCCGTCCACCTTGCTTTCCCCCCAAGCCACCTCTTCCGCCGGCGCCATCGACTCAGCCACCCCGCTAAACCCTGCCGGCGCGGCGCGCGCGCACCGAACCAAGGCCGGCGGCGCACCAGCTGCCGAACAGGCGCGGCAGTTGCGCCGGCTGCATTACTTTGCGGAAAGCGCGCCAGCTTTTCGCGATCCAATGCGCCACCCAGCCATGTTCGTTGGTCGATGGGGCTCGCGGCGGCGACTGATCCGGCGGCGATAAATCTCGCGCGCCCCCTGCCCCCTTCGTCTTCTTGCGGGGCGGCCATCCAACTCCCGCACGCCCGCGGGCGGCGGGGCGGCATCGGCGCCGGCGACCTCCCTCGCAAAACACGAGCGGCCCGCCAAAGCGCCCGGGCTGCTGCGCCCGATGCCTGCCGCCGCCATTGCTGCAGGTAGCGGGCCCGCCGGGCGCCAAAAACCTCCGGGCGCCCTGCGACAAAGAAACGCCCGCCCGCCCGGCGCCCTGCCCTTGTTTTCGCCAGCTCCTGGGCGGCCCCCGGCCGCTTCCGGCTTCTATAGTTTCCTCTCCGTCCCGTCCAAATCGGCCTCGTTTTTGTAAATTCGAAAACTACTCATCGGCGGGCGCTATTGCAGGCGGGGCGGGGTGGCCTTCCACCCGTTTCCCATCTTCGCCCCTGGGGGCTTCTGCGCCCTGAAATCCGCAGCCATGTGCACCCCCGCGGTATGCCCTGGGCGCAGGGGCTGGGCTGCGCGCCTTTACGGGGTCCCTGGCTTTTCGCACAGCGCGCGGGCCAAGCTCGGGCGGCGCCCTGGCGCCAGGTTGCCGCGTCGGGCTCAGAAACAACGCACGCGCGCAGCGGAGCACGCGCCTGCCTGGGGTGGGTGCTGTTCTCAATCTTCCCGGACCACTGCTCCTGCAATTTCCAAAAGCGCGAAAAATGAAAAGCCGGCACAGACGTGGGGCCCTGTGTCCGAATGCTCTGCGTAACACGAGAGTCCGGCAGAACCGTGCAGGGCCTGGACGAGTGTGCGCGGTTTTATCGAAGAGGACACCGCCGAACAAGATTTTCCGTCACACTTTTCCCACGAACTGTTGCAGCTTTCGTCTTGCTCAGTAGATTTTCTATCTTCATGTTCATTTTGGCGAAGTCGATTCTACGGCGATTCCCAGTCCTCAACGTCAATCAGCAGCACACACTGCACAGTCATCTTGGCGACGAAGAAAGTTGCTGGCCTTGATGTATTCACGAATATTACCCATTTCTGCCTGCCTCTGCGCAGGAGTTGTGGGACCAAGACCAAAATCATCGCTGAGCTACTCAAGTTGCACCGGAATCAACTAATTATTGCCGTCATAAGTTGCAAACGCAAAGTGCTTCCTTTCATCTATCTTCGGTCAAATTTTTAGAGCATTGCAAGTTCTTTCATGTGCAAGCGGGGGGTACAGGTAAAAAGCGGTTGATCTTGATGGAAATCTTACATACAAGCGCAAGCGGACTTCAGTGTGATAGATAAATTCTAAAACATAAAACAGGTAGCTTGATCCTCTCGAGAGCACGAGCAAGCACCTAAAATAACATTATAAACCGAAACCGTCGTGGACATTTCCTTCATCCTCATTAAACGCCAATCCTAGATGAGTCCTCATGCGCGAATTTGCAGATCACGCAGCCCGTCCATCCTCCTCCGACGAAGCATCTCCTGAGTACAACAGGGTGCTACTACTTGCGTCCTGGGCCGTCACGTACGGCGGACCCACCAAGCGGTCGACATGGTTGACGGTTCCTCCACTCACACGAACATGAATACCCTCGTCGTGGTGGCCCTCTGCTGCAATCATTTCTGGTTCACGAGAGCAGGCATCGAAACCACCACCGGAAATCTGGCTTTCGTTTTCGTGCCCTGCCTCCTCCGAAATCCTATCAACACAAGAATACGGTGCTGACCACAAGCCTCGTCGTAACTGCTCCTGGTGTTTTTGCAGTACTGCAAGTTGTGTGCCAACAGCTCCTGCGCTTTCGGACAAAGAGTGAAAACCAGGTAAAAACGCGTCGTGACGCTTTCTGGTGTGACGTCCGCTCTTGCTCCTCATCTTGGTTTCTCTTTCAGCCGCCACTTTTTCCAATAGACTCCCCTTCACGACTTCGGAAACCAACTCGTCATCCTCTGGGCCGCCGACCGGTAACACTTTAATATTATTCGCTCCACCAACAACGAAGTTAATGTCTCCGAACTCCTCCGGAAAATTGTGCTGAATTCCTTTCCGCAGTGCGGCCACGGTCAGTCTCTGCGCAAACGCGTTTTGGTACCAAAATGGGTGATCTCTGCTGGGCCAGAGCCAGTCATTGGTCAGCACGGCAGAGTTCTCGGTCGCCTCGTGGATGTGCACCGTCGTGATTCGGTCCGCGATGTCTGCGAATCGAAGGAAAGGCGCGTCAGAAGATCTTTGCTCGACGTCGTACCCTTTGTTCTGTAGTTCGTCATCAGCCATTGACGCACCAGCAGTCGCGCTCTTCGACATGTAGTTTCGCGGCACAAACTCCTCTGCTGAGGGGTCCAGGGTTGTACTAGAACTGGAATGAAAAATCGAAGGCACAAACTCTTCCGCGGAGGCGTTTAATAGACCCCCAGTTGTAATTGTCGTTCCAGCAGTTCCTGTTGTGCTCTGTGGCTCTTGCTCTTCCGGGAAAAATCTCACTGCATGCCCACGACCAGTGCGTCGTGTGCGTCTATCAGGAGACGAGGTTCGAGTAAATTTTTGACTCAGGAGAGGACGATAGGAGTGCCGACCTCCGGCGGATGGCATGTCGGGAGACGAAGTAGCCGATGTACTTGAGCCGCTGGTGGTACTTGTGTCTCCCCCAGCTGAATAATGAGTTGCACCGTTCGGCCTCGAACGATTCCTCTGAGTGATGATTTTCTTGGTCAAACGAGACCGGGCCGCTCGCTCTTTTTCTTCGTCGGACGACGTCGGTATCTCGCTCCACAACAATTTGCGTTCTTCTTGCGCTGCTGGATTTCGATCCTCGTCGATGTGTCCTCCGTCTCCATCGGCGGCCGGAGAAATTGCTTGCGTCTTATTTGCGGAATGTACAGCTCGCACTGCGTCTGCAATGCCTGCTGCGACACAGCAGACGAGAATGCGAGTTGGTATGCACTTCATGATCGTGTTTTAGATTTTTACTGGATTCAGGTTTCAAGAGTCGGATATGCCGGAAATGCAGAATGTTTGTCGTCCGCGCTTGAAACAAATTAGTGGTAAAAAATGCAGAAAAGGATACTTAAAACTGAACAATCCACTGACAATTGTCGCGTTTCTGCAAGAAATCTTTTTGCGACGACCTGTCGGCCTAGAGACGCTCACACTTCGAAGATGCGCTGTTGAAGTATGTTGATGAAAGAGGACTGAATACAAACACCGTCCGTCAAAAAGAACAACTCTACTCTACACACACAACATACAGAAGGCGGGACTACTCATCAAGTTCTCAGGATTCGTGAACTGTCTGTCAGCACAATCTCGACCAAAGGTTACAGTACAGCAAGATGACGATGATGTTGAGCATGAGCAGCTTAAACTAACGCTAATTCATTAGATCCTGAGTCATGCGGTTGAGGGAATACCTTAGCAAGGCATCGTCGGACAAGCATCTGCATCTTCTTGCACTATAAAGATCTTCACACCATGTCGAAGGCAACATCTTCTCACGGTAAGTAACTTCGGTTAAAACACTAGCCTTCAATGCAACAAAGTAGTTGGATCGTCTTCAATCATCAAAACCAAAAGCACGACCACTATTTATTCACAAAAGATCCATCCGACGACGTAAAACTTGAGCGAAATCTTGTTGGGTCTGGATCGGGATCCTCAGTTCGTTGCAATCACTTCTCACCACGACACCTATATCTGCCACTGCTAACCACAGCTTTGATCTTGCCCACAAACAACATCTACACGCGATCATCTTTCCTTCCCTCAGAGGGCTCAAGGCTTCAAAATGGCGTATGCCGGGCTTGAAATCTGCGCCGAACGAGCACCAATTGCAAGAACTTGAATGCAGCTGCAGGAGCGAGGAAAACGGAGATGGCGAAGGCGCGAAGCCATGTGTGAGCCACGCCCAAGCCGAAGCCCAAGCCTAAGGCAGGCCAATCATTAGTCTGCACTGCGGACGAACCTGGGCGGGCGGCGGCCGACTGGGCCAACCACTGCCCCCCGGGCCAACAATGTCTGCTGGGCAGGGAAGCATGTGATGAATGGCACAGAGGCCGCGCCACCGAGCGACGATCGGGCGGGCGGGTAGGCAACACAATGCCCCACCCGGGCGCGAAGGAAGAGCCGGCCCCTATGGCATTTTTTTCATTTTGTGAAGCTAGCCTGCCAGGCAACGAGCACGCGGCGCGCGCACCTTCGCAGGACCGACAAGGGGGGGCGCGGTGCTCAATGGGGCGGGGCGCCGACACACATGCCGGCCCCAAAGAAAGACACGCGCCCGCGCGCACGACGCAAACCGCGACGGGCGCGCGGGCAAACGGGCAGAGCCACTGCCCCCCCGATCCGGGGCCGGGGGCCCTATGGTGCCCAGCAAGGGGGGGCTAGCGGCTTCTCCGGCGCGCCGCCCCCCCGGACCGGCGGCGGCCCTTCGGCACAAACTAACAGCGCGGGCCCCTCGTCGAAGTGTACGCAATGCACTCGCGGCGCCCGGCCCATCCAAGTATTTGAGCAAGTTCTCCGGCCGGAAGCTTCCACCGATCTGGTCCGACGCCATCCTGCGCTACGCGCGCCGGCAGCGCCCCCCGGGGGGCTATTGAGTAGCACGCTCGCAGGCCCCGACCGGCGCAAGGCGCGGGCGGCCCTTCCTCCAGGCCACCGGCTCAAGTCGGCGGGCTACCGAAGGAAAGCCGCCAAAACCCGGCACGAGGGGCAAGCACGCCGGGCAGGTCTATCAAAAGGCCGAAGCCGGCCGGCGTGCTGCCGCTGCATGCGAAGCGATGCGAAGGCATATGGCAGGCGAAACAAAGCAGCGGGCGCCCGGCCGGAAATTGCCCCGCCGGCGCCCGCGCGACCAACTCGCCACACATTGGCGGGCAGACGTTGACGCGCCGACGCGCCGCACGGGTATCCGGGGCCTTTGCTTGGGAGCGCCTGCAAATGCCCGCCGCGTAGCAGGCCCCGGGGGCGAGAAGCCGGCAGGGCCTCGGTGGGTGGATCTGCGCGCACTGTGACAGTGCCGCCCCACACGGGTGGCACCGCACGGATGGGCGACGCCGCCTGCTAAAGTTCCCCGCGTAGCCACTGTGCTTAGCAAAGGGCCAAGGTCAACGAATACATAGGCTGCGCTGTAGATGCCCCCTGAAAAGCGAGAGTGTGCGGATGTCGTGTCCCCATCCTTGAACACGGATTGCCGTTTGGATCTTGGGAGAAGAAGGCAGAAATACCAGGAGACCGTGCTGGTTGGCTCTTTGCTTTTGGTGATGTAGATGTTGACTTCGACAGCTGCAAAAACAGATCAGATAATATAAACAAACTGAAATAACTGGTGCTGTCTGACATGGGATGCATTTTTTTCCAGTGTGTTTGCGTCAGCAACAGCATATCGGCTGGCACTTCTTCACTGAGGCTTGGCGCATCCATGTTGAAGCATGGGCTTCATCACTTCATGATCTGTGCTGTATTCTCTGGACTCATATAGAGCAGCATATCAGGACCAGGACGAAGACCAAAGTTAGCTTTCTTGTACACAAAGTTTGCAAGCTGGTGCTGGAGCTGAATTGCTGCAATAAAATTGCAATAAAACAAAAAAGAAAAACGTATGAAAAAGAACTGAAGTATATCTAGCACATCTTCTCATCCTGCTTCTCAAGCGCACAACCCTCCATAATAGTTTTCATCAAAGCCGGCGCGCACGAACTCTTTCTGCTCTTCGACGCAGACCCCTTTTTACTTTTAGGCCCGCCTTTCCCTCTTGGGTTCTCCTCCACTTTCTCATCTTCCAACAAATCCTCCCAAGAGTCCGGACAACCCCACTCTTCGTGTAGATTTGCAAACGGCGCATCCACGCCCGTACCATCTTCGTCACGCAGGTAGGGCACGTCAAGGTGGATCAAAGTGTCTTCACCAAGCTCCTCCTTTTTTTCTGTGTAGTATCGGACAGTGCCTTTCTCTCCTTTCTCGAACCGTTGCGCCTTGATCTCGTTAGTAGAGCTGCTGTCGACGTCCGAACTGACTGCAGTCACGATTTTTGCTGATTGCGGCTCACGAGAGATATTAAGTAGGTCTAGTATACCAGGGGGAGAAACTTCTTCCTGTTCCTCGATGTCACCATCCAGAAACAATTTCGCTTCCGCTTTCGTCTGCGGTGTCTCGTCGTCGTTCATGCTGGGGTCTTGTTCCTGCTCTGTAACTTTAACTTCGTATTTCTGTTGTACATGCTCACCCCGGTCGACTACATCTTCACCGGCGCCAGTTACCGGCGAACCGCGACTAGGACTGTGCGCCTGTTCGGTACCTGCGACGACGGGTTGCTGCGCGTGCTGTTCCGCCTCTTGATCTGCTTCCATATCCATGCCATGGTCATAACTTTGTCCCCGCTCCTCAGTCCCCTCTGGAATTCCGAACAGCACGCAGGGCACCATAAACCCGACCAGCTGTCCTTGGTGCAGCTGCAGCGCATGCATCTGGTGCACATGACTCGTCCGCTGTGATTGATGTGATGTCGTGCCACAGGAGCGGGAGAAGCTTGCTCCTGAAGATAAGCTTCCAGTGGCTCCTGACATCGATGCAGGATCTTCCGTTGGGTAGTTGTGAATGTGTTCCAACTGTTGCTCGTAATCGTAGTAGGCGTGTTGACCAGCTTGAGCTTCTTGTGCTTTATCGTGAAAACCAACCGCAGCCTCGTTCTTGCTCATCTCAAATTGCTGCTGCATCAGCCATTCCTGTTGCATTTCCCCGACCAGATCGGACACCAGCCTTTCATCATCTGAACTCCCCGGGACTAGAATCTTTGTCCCGACAACCAAGTTCACCTCCCCACTGTCTGGTGGGAAATTATGCCGAATCCCGTCTCTCAGCATCCTCACTGTCAAGCCCCTTTCCAAGAAGTTTTTGCAGTACCAAAACGGCCAACTCAACTCGGGCCACAGCCAGGCGTTGGTCAGTTCGGCGCCGTTGCGCGTCGCGGACACAATTTTCACCGTCATCAAATCGCCCTCGATGTCTTCGAGGCGGAGTGTTGGAGTGGACGGTTCTGCTTGTTCTTTGGTTTCTACTTGATCCGCGACGTGCATTTGCTCATCAGGTTGCTCTTTCTTCTCCGCGTTTCGTCCAAGTTTTTGTAGATCATGAGTAGAAGAAGAAGGCACAGCCCCTGCATCGACGGACATAGTGGAACTAGAAAATCCTGTTTCATCTGCTGTTGAGCAGATCCCTTCCATCGGCAATTCGTCATGATCTAGAGATTTTTCTTGATCTTGTTGGGCCTGACACGCTTCCGGTGTCGACTGCTGTGCTGGGACGAAAACTTTCGCCGAAGCGTCCAAAAGTTTTGTACTAGTTTTCATCGGTGGAAAAGGTTGTAGAACTGCGTCCAGAGTTCTATGGCTCGTCGGTACAAAAACCTCGGCCGATGCGTCCAAGCAGTTTGCACCGCCCGAAGCGGATGGTCTGTGCAAGAGGGAGGTGTCTGAGGTGGCACTAAAAATGCTCGAAGCGTGCTGTTCGGCCGCACTACTACTTTCGGTCTTTTTGCCTTTCTGCAAAAACGGAGATGACTTCTTCGCCGACAGGGCCGGCCAGGCATCGGGATCGTAGTTCAGCGGCACTTGCGAGGACGAGGAGGACAGAGGGTCACAACTTGAATCCGTCTCCACTGTACTGCTTCTTGCGAGCTTATTTCCAGTGTTCGGCGAAATCGACGCGGCAGCGGGTGCGGTTTTCGCATGATCACCGGGGGCATGGTCAAACTTCGCCTTGAATTTCGCAACAATCTGTTTTTTCTTCAGCATTATGCTAGCCCTCCCCCTGGCGTCCCGGGTTCTCTTCGGCGGGTGGGCTGTTCGAGGGAGTGTGTTATTTTTAGGTGTCCGTGAGGCCTCGGAGTCATGGTCGCTGTAGTTAATTCCGGCAGTAGTTGCCTTTCCTCGACCCGATGGTGCTCCATCAGAGAAGGAAGGAGTAGAGGCCCACCAACGATCTTTCTCGTCGACCTTTCCCAACCCTATGGGAGCAACAGTGCCTGCAGCTACAGGAGGCTGTTGCTGCTGATTACTTTTATCCACTTGCGGCAGCTCCTGCTGCTTCGGTTTTCCACCTTGCAAGTTCGCTCGCTGACGACCGACAGTGGCTCTTCCTGCAGCGGTAGAAGACCTGGAGGACGCCACGGTAACAGATGCTCCCAAAGCTGGCCAGTCGTCCTTTGGATCTTCCGCATCAGGTCGTGGTGGAAATGGACCCTCTCCCGTGACGTTACCAAGGCCGAACACCCACATCGTGTTCGGGCCAAAATTAGAAGATGACGCACCAGTATTGCTATCATCTGCAGATGAGCCGAAGGATATGCTACGAGATGTTCCAACGTGAAGAGCCCCACTTTCTGTGACTTCAGTGGTCTTCGTAGAAAAACTTGTACTCGAGTCCAGTGAATGAATCCGATCGAGCTCTTTGCTGACCACCGCTGGATCATCGTCTTCATCCTCGCCTGAAGATACAGCCAGATCGCTCCACATCAAACGCTCCTTGATGTTTCCATCCGTCGTTTCATCAACTTCAGGCACCTCCTTTGCTGTGGCACTACTTCCTGCGTCGCTGCCCGTGGACGTTGTCGCAGAAGATGGCTCTTTATTGACGGAAGTAGTGGCTGCAGCATTGGTTTTCGTTTTCGACGACGACGGCCCAGAGGAAGGCTTAGGCTTTGTCTTGCTACTAGAAGCGGTTGATGCCCTGCCTTTTGTTATACTCGTCGTCTTCTTCGGCCGTCCGGGTGCTGAAGCGAGTTGCACCGCGTTAACGAAGAGGCGTGACACAATGGGGCAGAGAAGGAGAGCTGCGGCTGTCATTGCAGCTTTGCTTGATACCATGTTGAAGAGTTTTGCAGGAGAGAAGTGCGTGTTTGCAGTGGATGGATGAAGTAAGACCATCAAGTTCGCACGTGCTGATATCGGTAATTTTACCCAGATGCAATCGAAAAAAAAGCAACACAAAAACTTTAACTTAATGCGAAACTATTTGTTCGAGACATTCAATAAACTTAACGAAAACAGAGCGTGTGTGTGGTGTAGAAGTAGAACTAGTCAAATATGCAGCATGAAACCTGGCCTGTGCGGACACTTTAGTGCTGCGTTTGTCTCCATTTGTACTGTAAAAAAATTCGGAGCGACCAAAAATATCCACGTGCCTCATTCTCGGCGTCCGAGAGCTCGCTGTTGCTACAGCCTGGATCTGTGTTTGAACTGAAGCGAAAAAAAAAGTTTGCGCGGTGGACTTTGGAAAAAAAACGAAAAAGAATTGACAATCGCCGTGCGCATATTCTTTTACGCGCCTAACCACACTGGAGCTGTTCCCGTTGGTCTTGATGCTTCATCTGCTCCAGCAGCATAGTCATACAAATACAAAAGGATCGAGCAAAGCATCACAGTAGTAGAGCTCGAAACTGTAGGACCAGGAGGACAAGGTAGGGCCCATCACTTGGGAAAATGCAACGCTCTTGATGGCGTATCGATCTAAGCGACGCGCCAGCATCACTGTCTGACTTCGCATGACTGATTGGCGAGGCGACACGATCTTTCTACAAAACCCGAAACGGCGTCGGGAGTGATGGGCACGCGCTTCGCCCTGCACACAAGGCATACAAGCCCGGGCCGCCCACCCGAAACAGGCAACATATCTTCGGGGGCACCATAACTCGGCCGGGCCCGCGCGCCCGCCCCGGTAGGCGGGCCAACCAGCGGCGCGACAGGCAGGCGGGCGGGCGCGCGGACAACGCCACCGGCGCCACACCCCATCGAACAGAACGCAACACACTGCGCGCGCGCCCCTGCCTTCGGAGCCACCTCGTCCGCCGGCCAGCCGCTCCGGCCGGGGCGCCTTGGTTCGTTGGTTGCTTCATGGGGCCGGCTGGGTGGCCCTGCGACCTTCGGCGGGCAGACAAGCGAAGGAGCCTACACTCCCCCGGGGGAGAGTCGCGCGCCAGCCTCGCCCGGCGGCGGCGGGCGGGCACAAAGAAAACGCGGGCGAACCGGAAACGCGCGCGCCGACGGGCCAAAAAAGCTGGCGCGCCGGGAGGGGGCCGGGGCCGGTCTCCGTCTCATTCCGCCTTCGCGCGTTCCCTGCGCTGGCTCGCTCCCCGGCGCCGGCCGCGGTGCGAGTCTGTCAGTTGGGTGGCGCTGGCGGCGGGTTCGCTTGGGCACTGGCGCGCGCGCCCGGATGGGAGGGCCCAGCATCGGCCAGGCGGCAGCCGGTGCAACCCGAAGGGGCACCACCGAAAGCGGCCGGGAAGCGCCCCACCGAGGCGAAACGGGTCCCGCCCCACCAAAGGGCAGGGCACGCCGATGCCTGCGGGCCCGGCCTTCCATCATTCAACCAGCGCCGCCAGGCGTGCAGGCGCGCCAGCCTATGCAGCGGCCCGGCCCCCCTGCTGGGGGCGCTGGGACGCAGGAGGGTAACTAGAAACGGTCGGCCCGGCCGCGCCCATCGCGCGCGCCTGTTATGCCGCAACGCGCGCGCGCCCCCGCGAATGAAAGGGGCAACAGCTTGCCGGCTTCGCCACAGATGGCTGAGGACTTCCTTCGCCGCATCGCCTGGAGTCTCCGCCAAGCCACGCCAAGGGGCTAGAGGCAGGGGCGGCCATCGCTGCGGAGGTTGTCGCGCGGGGGCGGGGGCAACTTCTGGACCTTCGGCAAACGGCCGCGCCCGCTGGTCGCCCCAGGTCGGCCTCCTGCGCCGGAAAGTTCCAAGCTCCCCGCCCGTCAGCTCAACACAGACCGCCGCGCAGTTCGTTGTAGAAAATCGCTTCGCCTTCTATCTATTTCCCCGCAAGCTCCTTTGCCTTCCTGGCATACTGAGCTGTGGACTACGTGTAGAGCACACGAAGCATATAGAATTCGAAATGAAGAACAGCAGTAGCCATCTATCGGCTCGCTCACACTATTTAACATTGCCATCTCTTCATTGCCAAAATGCTTCAGCTTCGCACACCGATAGCCTACTTATATATACGTAATTTTGGCACTGTCGCTGCAAGAGATGTCGCTTGGTTTATTTCGTCCACTGTCGCTTGAAATGTGTTTTTTCGTGAAGATGAGTCGACTGTAAAGTCAATGCGGTCACTTGATATCTCGCATACAGAAGTTTTTCTCATGTTTAAACACTGTAACGCCATCAAAATCTGCTTTGTGTAAGACCAAGACATTCAGTTTCAGACGAGTAATTCTTTGCTTTGAAAAACTGAAAAACTTGTTGAAAAAATATCTTTCTACACACTTCGGCCCACTCACCTTTAGTGAAGTCAAGAATGGGAATAGCAGTAAGTAGCTTTCACGTTAAAACTTCCACCTCCACCTCCATATCATCGTCCTCTGGGTCATCAACAACATCGTCCACATTCATCTTCTTTACGCCACCACCGTTTGACGACTGTTCGCTACTGTAACTCGTTGTCGTGGTTACCGTGCTGGTGTTGTTATTCAAACAGCCTCCTACAGCTACTTCCCCACAAGTCCCATCCGACTCCAACCGGTGGACCTTCTGCGTGGATAGTAAAGAAGATGCTTCTAGTACTTCGTGGGCAGCAACACTCGTAGTTGTACTGCTGTTCGAGTTGTCGACCAGCATGCCAAAGTTCGGCGTTTGCTGTAGTTCCTTTTCCGTTTGCTTCACAAATCCCTGCGGTGGCGTGTGTTTCAGTTTCGGAATCCCTGCCGAATCTTCTTCATTCACGGGTGTGGTTTCGGGCAGAAGAGACGTCGGCTTTTGCTGATCTGCTACACTGAGTTCATTATCATTTTCTTCGTTATTCATCAGTGCCGCGCTGTTGGAGTTGGAGGAGTTAGAGCTGTCGTTTTCTTCTTCCTCGTCCTCACTTATCGCCGCGTCCGCGTCCAAAAACGCCTGTAACTTCGCGTTCGGCCCCTGGCCGGGCCTGGTCTCCCGCTCCCAGGCGTCGATTTTCAAAAAGGATTCAACCCGCTCGATCAGGTTTTCCAGGGAGTGGATCTCGTCAGAAACCAGGTTGCTAGAACAAGTTGTTTCGTCGATGTTCATATCGTCCTCCGTCACCCCCCGCTCTGGTGGCGGTTTCAATTTTGACAATTGCTTTTTCCACTTCGGCAGCAACTCGTTTCTCAGCTTCGCGCACCGTTTATCAGACGCAGTGCTGCTTGTTTCCGAGCATTTGCGGAGGCAAAACCAGGTGAGAGGAAGGATTGGGCGGTTTTGGAGATGATGAGCTGGCCCGAAATTTCGCTGGAAAAAGCTGAAGGTGGTATGCGGCTCGAGTGCTGGAACTGTTTCTACTGATGCGGGTCGTGCTGAGACAACATTTTCATCTTTGTCATGCGGACTAGTATCCACCTCCATGATCGTGTCAATCTGCATTTTGTCCTTCTGCTGTTCCTTCTTCTGTAAATACTCAACCGCGTCCTCATCTGTATTCGGCAAATTTGCTGCCGCGAAGAAAGAAGCCTCCTCCTCCTCCTCTTCCGCCACAGGAGCTCCCGTTGTTGATGTATTCCTAATGCTAATACCTCCCCTTCCCGCCACACGTCCTTGACAGCTCGTTTTGAAAAACGCATGTTCCTTTACCTGACTGAGCGACAGCCGTTGCTCATTCTCGAACTTCACACACTGTCGCACCAAGTCGTTCCCTTCCGGATACAACATTTCGCTCGGAAACTCTAAATCCTTGTTCATCACCCGGAGAATCACCAAATACTCGCTACCCGCCTGAAACGGCGGCAACCCGTACAAGACCTGGAAAACTAAACACCCGAACGACCACACTTCGCTCTTGTAGTCTGTTATGGGAATGTCAGAATCGAAATTGACAAAATCAAAAAATTTGTGATGCACAAAATCGATGTCAGTTGGAGCCTCAGTTTTCAAGTGGCGCATGACAAATTTCGGGAGCACCAAAATCCAGTCTGTCATGCTGTTTGGGGAAAGAAGACTGCTCCTGTCATGCTACTCTGGCAGCACATTGCATACCCCTAAACAGGCTTACAATCGGCCTCATATGCCTGCTCCCCAATACAGGCCTTCAGTGCTCTACATTTTATGCATCACAAGTTTTTCGATTTTGTCGATTTCGATCCTGACACATCCATATCTGTGAATTTGTTTTTAATACATTCCGGCGACATGAACTGCGGGGTGCCGACGTAATTTGCAAACGTCCTCCGCATCGGCCCGGTCTCGACGATTTTGTCCAAATCCGGATTTCGGTGGTCCTTCGCGGTCCCGAAGTCGATGAGTTTCACCAAGCCGGTCAAGTGGTTCACCAATATGTTCTATGCAATACAAATTTCCCGCACATGTACAAAATGCATGACAAAGCTCGCTAACTTGGAGCGTCCAACACCAACTTGTCATGCTGAGTAAGATTGGAGGCAAGTTTTGTCATGCAGAGCCAGCATCTGTACGTGTACAGGAAGTTTACTGTGGATACGTTTTCCGCCTTCAAGTCCCGGTGCAGAATCTCCTTGCTGTGGAGGTAGGACAACCCGCACAAAACCTGCGCTAGATAAAACTTCGCGGAGTTTACCGCCAGGCCGGTTTTCTTGCACATCTCGAAGAGATCGCCGCCGCAGTATTCCAGCACCATGTAGACCTGCATTTTATCGCAAGAAAAAACTGTTTCACTGTGATGATTTTGCAAGATCTGCATCACTATCACAAGTTTGTTACACATGACAAAGAAAACTTGGCATGCGTGCTTCCTAAAGGAAAACACAGCTAAAAATCCAATGTCTTGCATGTGTAGCAAGACAAACACATTTGCGTTCCGTTCTATGCATCACAAGTTTACAGTGAAACAGTTTTTTTTTGCGATACATTTCGTCCTGAAAGTACTCTTTGATTTTGATGATGTTCTCGTGCGAACAGCGGTATAAAATGTCTTTTTCTCGTCTCAACTCGTATCCTGAGTAAAGACGTCCCCACCCCATAGTTGTCATGCAGATTTGCGATTACAGGAAGATTTGTAATGCGCATCTCCATGAGAGGCATTTCCAATCGCACTTTGGAATTTGTAATGCTGTAAACGGGATGAGCAGATAGATTTGTGACGCGGCTGCACTTGCTAAACTGCACTACACTACGGACGTGAATTTGTCATGCGTTGCTCCCAAAGCTTCTGGGTTTGTGTTGCTAAGTTCCCAACTTGACTATGGGGTCGAGACGTTTTTACATATGATAACTCGTGCGTTTTTTTCATGTGCTGGAGTTTCGCGCGGTCGGCGATTTTTAAAGCGACTTTCGTCTCATAATACTGCTGGAAGTGGTAGGTTTTTTGCTTCGGTTCCAGCTGCTTCTCGTCTTGATTCGGGACCCGGCCGGCGAGAAAGCTTACGTGATCGACCTTTTCAGTGTTGCTGTTCTGCTGGAGAAAAATCTTTTCATCTACTGCTCGATCTTGATCTTGTTGTGCAGCAGCAGGAGCAGCAGAGGACAACGCCGTTGCATTTCTTTCCTCTTCCTCCTCCTCCTGCACCGACTCCAACTGCAACTGCCTCTTCTGAATTTCCTTCTTCAGTTTCAAGTCCTCCGCGATAAAAATGCTCGTGTAGTTGCCTGTCCCGACCTCCTGAATTACCTCGTAGTCATCCGCCGTTCGTTTGCACAGCCGCTTCGCCTCGTTAAATGCCACGCGGATTTCCTCCGAAGTAGCATTCAAATTGCGCAACTTTGTGCAAATTTCCAAGGCCTCGTCGTTTTGCTTCTGCTTCTTCAACGCTTTTTGCAGCTGAAACAGCGCCTTCTGGTGGTTCGGGTCGTTCAGCTCTTGCAAAATCTGCCGGCAATCCTGCTCCGTTTTCGCCCACTCGTTGAGATTCGAGTAGCACTGCGCCCGGTTGGAGAGAAGTTTTACCAGTTGCTGCTCCAGTTGTTCTGGAGAAGCAATACCGGAGGAGACAAAACCGATATCCAAGTTCGAGAGTTGTTGGATCTCGAGTATTGCTTTCGAGTATTTCGCGACTGCGGACTCGTAGTCTTTGCTTTTGAACTCCGCGTTGCCCTCTTCTCGGAGTTGGTTGATCCGCTCCTTCGGGGGCAGTTCTGGGGGCTTGGAAGAGGCCATGTTTTATCTTTATGGAAGCGAGATGAATCAATGCTCTTTTAAGAACTTCACTGTGTTTCACCACGAATGGTCGCGCATCTACAACTAGAACTACTTCCTTCCAAGGAAAAAAAATCCGAGTATGAAATAGATTTTGCGTGTACTGATGAATTTCGGCGTTAAAGATTTCACTCCACCAAACAGCGACTTTCTAGAATCCTGAAAATTATAACCTCACTACATACCACGCCGCACTAACTTGCTGCCTGGGCCGTTACGGGCATGGGAGAAGCAAATAAAGCAGCTCCGAAGTTTTCTGCTGACGCACGACTAGACATCATCTCGTGCTTCTTCTTGTAGAAAAAAATATCGCTCAGACTTTGATGGATCATGTTTCTTCTTCATCAGGAACGTGGACCTCCACTGAAGCTGATGATCGAGGTGCAGAACTTTGTTCTATAGGTGGTGTTGTAAGCTTGTCAACATAATATTGTGCGCAACATGCTCAGATATTAATTCTAGCCGCAGAGGTGGTGAACGCGACGCAGAAAGCATGTCGTGAGGAACATATTATGAAACACAGTCGCAGGCAATATTAAAGCAGATCCCTGCATAAGAAGTACTTACCGCGACCACGCGGGAGTCGGAGGACCAGCGAAAGTTGATTTGCGCAACATTCGAGTTGTTTACAAACCAAAATACTTAATAAATGCGCGTGCTGTTCGCACGGATTTCTGATTTCTATGTTCTGTGTCGCTCTCGAGAAAATTTTTACAGCAAGTTCTTTATCTATCTCGTTCTCCTGTGGTTTCAACGCAGCTCACATTTTCTGTTCTTTGAGTAAGTGCAATCCGCATTCAATATGTAGAAAGGCTTCTAAAGTCGTGGGGTTCTTAATTGTTCGAGGTCGTGCTGGTCTTGTTTTTACGCCCGGGAGCAGAGGGGGGTGTTCGTGGTGGGGATGCTATCCAGTTGTTGTACCAACTAGTAAAAATAAGAGGCGTCACATGAGTCGTTGTTTCTCTCAGTCGGTCGGAAGATAAAATCCGCCTAAGACCAAGAGACCTACGAATGAAGTGACTTTTGGCCATATTAAACTCCTGTGCGTTCTGATATGATTTCTTGAGGAGGTGATGGTAAATTTCTAAAATCATGTGCAATAAATGATAGTCGTCGTGTATAGCAGTCTCGTCTTTGCCCCGCTTATTTTTTTTGGCACTGATTTTGTTTATTTTGGTCAAAAACGATAGATACGGCATGTTAATCTTCACAAGTCTTTCTTCTCTACTAGTACTGCTAGTACCTAGTCCTAGTCGTCCACATTTCTTTTCACAGTGACACAGGTGGACCCTGACAACGTGATGCTGAATCAAATATACTATAAGCTTGCCGAACCTGGAGTAGTAGAACTTCAGCAAGTCATGCGACTTACTTATCCGTCAGACGACAGGTTGTTCCCCCACTCATGGCTGGGTCAAGGAGAAGTAGGCTTATTTCATGATCTTGATCTCTATTGCACTTTATATCAGGTTGTACACAATTTACATTCATCATGCTCGTAAAACTCCAGCAAGGCACGACGGTGCCGATCACAAACACAAAGTACACCGTCATCACACTACCAAAGGTGCAGCTTTGCTGTGTGAAGAGATTTAGACGATCCCGATCCCTCGTCGCAGTACGGGACGCAGGCAACTACAGGGAGATGACACGTCGACGAACTACGTACTGCCCTCCGATGCTGCTGCGTGTCCATAAGAGCCCCTCAGCCCCCATCTTTGGAGATTCGCCAAGGCAGGCCCCCGGTTTTTTGACGGTCGTTGCTGTTTGCCTTCGAAATTGAAGGACCACGTGAAGATTCCAAAAAATTATCCTTATCCAGCTGTTCCACCAGATACTTATCCAGCTGGTGTGCCAGAGTCTCGAGCAGGTCTTCTCGCTTTTTTGCCACGCTTCTCCGTTCGGCAAGGCGATCCGAGGCTGCCCGGCGCCAACTCTCCATCAGTTGACTTCTTTCGCTTGTCGACAAAGTGGCCAAAGAAATATGCAATTTCCAAAGTGATACACGACACATGTCAAAAAGCTGAACCCGTGTCCGATCAGGGAAAATGCGGATTTTATCTGGTGTGCACCGACAGCGTTTCTTGCGCATCACGTTTCTTTGAGTTTGACATCAGAGCAATAGTAAAAAAAGATCTGGGGAGACAGCGAGATTCCAGCCAATAAGCTGTGCTTGGCACCATGCAAGAACAGAAATAACAAGTTGAAGCTAGTTTATTTGCCCCAAGTGCGGCGCATTTTCCCCAACAAGCTACCAAGAACGGGGGGACGCATCATGATGTGAAGCAGCTTTGGTGCGGCGGATATCGAGTGGGATCTAGAAGCCACGCCTCCTTCTCTCGCAGGTTCCTTTGCGCTTCCGAATCGAACTCTGCTAGGCCGTCCGCCGTCATTCCAGCACTGTAGGCTCCGGGAAAGTGCAGGTGGGATATCGGGATGCGAAACGAGACCACGGCAGCACCCCCAATAATTTCTCGCCGCATCACCTCCGTTGTTGATGTGCTGCCTTTAAGCTTGTTGTCAAGCATCCCATAGTAAAGGGCTTCTCTCTCGGAGAGGACGGGCGTGCTGATACTCCTCGAGGCGATATCATGTGTAGTCACAGATGGCAGCGAGGAGATTTTCAAAATTGCCGTGCGACCAGGTGGAGTCTCTGTCTCCTCTACGGCAACACCGATTTGAATTTGAAACCGGTCCGCGCTCACGCAGAAAAACTGGGTCGCGACGAGCAGCAGCTTTGAAAATTCGTGCGGGCGGACAGTGTCAGTCAGCATTTCGGCGAGCAGAGTCAGGATCTGCTTCTCGTGACGAGGGGCGACAAAGGGAGGGGAGTCCTGATGTTGAAAATCCGGGGCCCCTGACCCTGAGCCTGCCTTTGACGAGCGGGGGTCATCGCGTTGCAGATCGCGAAGAGCAGCTTTTTGATCAGGAATATAAGTGACAGTAGGCTGAAATGTTTTGACGGCTCGAGAATCTCCCGAGTTGTTTTCGGCAAAGTCCGTAGTTTGCCAACCTTTATTTGCCTCCATTATTCCCCAGTCCACACTCCTGCGCCGGAAGGAGCCCCCGCTGGTGCCACCCGACTGCAGCACAGCATAGGCCTCGACATCGTCCCCCGGCGGCAATGTGTTACTCAGGTGGAATGAGTCTACTCCCTCGCTCTTCTTCCCTTCCATTTCGCGCAGCATGCGGAAAAGCACGGTTTCCGTGAGCTGCCCCGCCTGCACAGCCTCGCGCCAGGTCAGATATGCCGCGCAAAACGATACTGTACTACAAATTCTGGCCATCTTAGTTACATGACGCATCAAGTTCTTCATACCTGGCTGAGTAAGCAGGCTTTCTTCTTTCAGAATCTGAAAAGAAAAATGTACAAATACAAAATGCACCTGGAAGTAATTAGTAGTACGATAGCTTTGCGATGCATATCAGCAGCCGCAGTGCAAACCGCACAAACACGTGAAGTGGGTGGGCGTCGTGCTCTTGCATGGCCCTCGCTTGAAAGTCTACGATGTGTAGCCAGCAATGGTTCACCGGCAGGTGCCAGTGGGGGTTATACGAGTACGGGTTATAACACGATGGAGGTCCCCGCCGGTCGTGCAATTCAGGATGCGAATGAGATGCGGAAGCTGAAGGATCAACACGTTGAGTGTCGGTTTGAAGATCATTGCCGTGATAAAGCAAGTCTTGTTGCATGTCGTAAAACAAATCTTGTTGTAGTTGCTCCTGGTGCACACCCTTCCCCGGCGGCACAACCTTGGTCCCCCTCCGCGCCTGCTCTACCTGTGCCTTCCGCTTGTGCTCGTTGATGAAGCCCATCGTGTCTTCGAACGCTTTCAGTGCCATCTCTAGTCTACGGGGCGTCACCCCGTCGCTGTGCAAATGGTCGAGGAAAAGGAGCAGCTTTCGCGTGCCGACGATGACGTCCTGATTTGCTCCTGCACGATAATGGGAGGTTCTTGCACTTCTACCTCTCATCTTCGAAGCAGGCTTTGGTGAGACGACAGAAGGACCTCCAGCAGTACTAGCGCCACTACGAAGAACGTGCCGCGGGGTGAAAAGATCCTCTTGTTCATGCGGCAGTTGCTGGTGCAGCCTTGCGGTACTATATCGCTGATATTCTCGTTGTTGGCGATCCTCTGCCAGCATTTGATGTTCCCAGTCGTTGTGAAGATCTTCACCTTGTTCATCAAGAAAATTAGTGAAAGTTCTGTTCATCGCACGCTGAGAAACAGTATCCACTGCCGGGGGAGGAAAAACATCTGCCTGCCGTGGCGAGTAGACGACGCCTTGGTCAATCTCTGCTGTGTCGTATTCTTGCACAAATCCGGTCCAGTCCAAACCACCGACGCGGGGGCCATCTCGTCTCGGCGTACGGAGAAAGCCCATTGCAACGTCCTGTGGCGCGCCGGCTGTCTCACGAACAATTGCATCGCTTAGAAGATGGTCTTGATGGTCACCATCTTCTAAAACCGCCGCGTCAGCTGCAGCCGCTCCTTGGTGGACGCCGAAACAATCCTCGAGGATACTATTCTCAGATTTTCCCTTTGGCATCTGACACAGCCCGTAGTCGTGCTGGCGCGACCGGCCGCCGAGAAAGGGCGGACGATCGCACTCGTCGCTTGCGTAGTAGCAATAGTCGTATTCGGATGAATTTTGTCTTGCGGTCGTCGTGCTGGTTGATCCAGGAAAAATTGTGTGTAAGTATAAGTTTCTTTGAGGAACAGCATCACAAATTTGCTCTACATGACAGAAAAAACCTGTCATGCGTGGCTTGTAAGGCAAAACACACCTGAAAAGAGAGCTTCGTGGCTGTCTGGCATGACAGGTGTAACTCTGTTGCATGTTCTGCAACACAAATTTACACTTACACAGTTTTTTTCTTGCATATGGTTCTTCTTCCGTGCACTACTGAAGACGAAGGACTCGCGGCCGGCCAAGAATTTTCCTTGGTGGTCATCATCATCTCTTGGTCTAGAGACGCATCATCAGCAGGCACTTCGTGCCGCGGCGTTTTCTCCTCTTCTAGGTCGCTGTCGTCTTCGTCAGTCACTTGGAAGTCCGGATCCAGCACGATATGCATTGCAAATATCTCTGGTTTTCTAGAAGGAGTCATGGTCATGCGAAGTCTCGATCACAAAAAAATAAATCTGTGTTGCATATATAAACTACCCTGAAGGCAGTTGCCCACTTCTTCTTGCTTTGCATTAGCAGGCGGACTGCAACATCTTATGCAGGGTAGGCATCAAGAAGGTCTCGATCTCGCAAAATCTGTGAAGATGCTTCAGATTCTGTGTGCATGATTCCAGGAGAAGACCATCACCATGTGCGTCGTGGTTCGCCAGATACTTACATGATGACAAATCTCGCATTCCTCCAGAGAACGACCCAGACAGAATATAATCGCATTTGATACATGATTTTCCGGTACAGATCGGATTTCTCCAGCACGGCGACATACCGCTTCGCCGCGGAACCGAGGTGCTTAAAGACGGAATCCTCCTTTAATAACAAATCCACGCGTCGCTTGGCCCAGCTGTCCTTCTTCAGCCCGGCCGTTAACTTGTCCGCGTGGGGACAGATTCCCGCCTTCGCGTAGTCTAAGAGCCACTCATAGTCGTCCCGCACCTCGTAGCGATAGATTTTTGTCGGCTCTGGTGGTAACTTTGCAGCTCCGTGTTTAGTACCTTGAGGTGTTCTTGAAAACCGAGGGCCTGCTTTCGAATTTACTCCTTCGCGAAGACCACGATGAGGCGTTAGTACATCTGCTGGCGTGCTGAAAACCTCCGTAGCGTCTTCGGACAAATCAGCGTCGTCGTCCTCTTCTTCATCGCCAACCAGAAGCCCCCCCGCAGTACTACCCTTTTTCATACTACTCCGCTGCACAAAGTACCCGCTTCTCGGACTCCGATCCTCCTTGCGATCCTCTCTCAACAACAGATGCAACGACAGCCGGATCGCATCCGCCGAAATGGGAGAGGTGGACCGAGAACGGCCGCTGCTGCCCTGGTGTAGTTGTTGTTGACCACGACGTTCTTGGCCAGCACCAGCTGCACGATGAAATAACGGCTGTTCTTGTTCTCTACCACGGTGAAATAAATGTGAGTTCCACCGCTTTTCCTCCTTGTGCTTTTGAAAAGCATCAACCGTCTCCGATGTCATGAACCAGGGGGCGCAAACGCGGGTGAACAGGATCAAATCACCCGGCGGGATACCGGCCCGGAGGAAGGTGCGGTAGTCGTAAAGCTTCTTGCTGCTCAGCAGAGGCTTGTCCTGATTCAGGTACGCGGCACGTGAGGTTGTCCTTCGCGACGCTACGAGATCCGAGACAGAGGATTGGTAATCCACCCACTTCGCGCGCGGGACCGTTTGTTTGTACAAATCCCGGCTACTTTGCATCGCGTCCACGACCGCCGGAGATTCAAAGACGTGGGGAGTACGCATGTCGTATCGGCAGTAGTGGAGCTTTTTAGGGGTCGTGACCAACATCTCCGTGCTGTCCTCTTCGTATTCACTTTTTGAACATATCGCCGAGGTCTTGTCTGATGTTATCAGAAAACCGGAGCAGTTTTTGCAGTAGCGGTCTTGGCTTGTTGTAATGTGCTGCTCTGGAGGAGGTTTTATTTCGCTCTCTACCCCGTCGTCCTCGCATCTACAAATAACTCCGACAGGAGGTCCATCTTCATCAGTGTTTTCCTCAACAAAGAGCCGGCGAGAACAAGGGACGAATGTTTGTGCACAGAAGATTTCGTCGCGCGACCTCATTTCTTCGCCGCGGTCAGCGTGTTTACTACTCCGGGTGTTTCGGTACACTTGCTGCGGAAAAGGCTGTTGCACCTGCAGCACCCTACCACTCTTCGCGTCCGTCACTTGTTCGACAACCGGTGGGGTTTGATGTTCTGATGCGGTGCTGGCCTTTGATGCGTCAAAAACGTAACGTCTTGCACCAAAGCTGGTGCCATCAACGGGCTTCTTCCCAAGCTGCTGTACGCGCCGCAGGACCTCGTCTTCGGTTGGAACCAGAATGTCGCGCAGAAGCTTGCAGAACTCCGGATCATCCGCGAGTTTCAGTGCGCGTTGCTGCGGGGACAAGCTCCGAGGCTTCAGGGCTTCTTTGATCTGAAACACACACAGCTTGTGCAGCGTCTCCTCGTAGGAATTCAGGTCATCAACAGCATCGCGCTGGTGCATCTGCTTCTTGGCTCGTGAAGACGAAGATGATTTTCGTCGTCCCCCCGAAGGGGAAAGCGCGGCGCCTCTACGGGGGCCACCTGGCTTTAATCTAAACCGCAGCTTGGGCTTTTTTCCTGATAAGGGCTCGGCTTCGGCTTCGGGGCTGAATACGTTCGTCGCGGCATCATTATACGTCAACTTCGAAGCAGCTTCTATTTGTGTTCCTATCCCAGCAGCTGGCGAGTCATCATGATAGACACCACAACTACCTTTTCGCACTGACGCTGCTGCCGCAACTCCTATAGCTGCTCTTGCAACAGCCCCAACCTGCTTCTTCCGATTGACGGTCTTCGTGCTGTCGCTGTCCGTTTTTTTCGTCGACTTTTGTCCTTGTTCGTACTTCCGAACGACTTTCTTCTATCCACTGCAAAAGTATCGTAGTCGTATGGATTGCAGATATGCATGACAAATCTGATTTCCTACCTGAATCTGCATTACAAATTCCAACTTTCTTCTTGAAAAAATTTGTCATGCGATTTATACTAGTACGATACTTTTGCAATGCATATCTTCCAATCCTGTTTGAAGCTGGCGGGCGGCCGCGGCGGATCAATATTTAATATTCTAACGTAGCTTTTCTTCGCCATCTCCGGGGAAACCACGGAAGTAGACCCGGCGACAGAGACCCCGAGCTGTGATCCGGGAGCGGCCTTGGCGGTGATCATGCGGTCGTCCACGCTCTCTCCTGAGGTGTCAGAAGCGTGTTTGACCACACCGCCAGACTTGGTTGTAATTGGACGCTCCCCCTCCTCGCGACCCCCACTCGCTCGTTTCGCGACCACCTCACCATGAATTTCCTTGGACAGCAGGCCTAATCGCATCTTATCTCGTGGGGGCAAAAAGGAAGCCACCAAACTATCAAATACCGCCGGAGCAAGAGCTGGCTCATTGTCTTGTAGTTTCAGGGGCGGATTAGTAGTTTCAGGTGGTGAAAAGGCATTTGAAGATCCACCAGCAGGCGCCGTTTTTTTTCCAAGCTGGGGATGAACAACAACTCCTGGGCGGCCGCCGCGAGAAGATGTACTAGAACTATCAATAAACGGCTTGCTCGTAGCCGTTCCTTTGTCCGACTTCCGGCACAGGAATTTCCGGTGAACTTTTTTATCATGATACGCAACAAGGTCGTCAACTCCGTCTGCTTCTCCAAGACCCGGCGCGCTGACCTCGACTAACTCCCGCGTAGTCTGCTGTTCGTGGTGCAAATCATCATACCGCTGCTGTAGTAGTTCTCCTTCTCCCGACGGCCACGCGGAGGCGCCGGCAATATTAGCGGCGAAAGAAGAATTTTCACCAGAACGTCGATGAGAAGCATCATCATGTTCCCCCCGAACACGACCTCGAGCTGTAACTACATCTTGTGCCGGCACGCGGCCCAAAACGTCCGCTAGCGTCGAATTGTAACTACTATCCATGGCAGAGTCCTCTGGCTCCAAAACAACGTCCTCGGGTTCTACTGGTCGAAAGTCGGTGCTGCTACCAGCGAGCGGTCCCGGATTTATTTCCTCTGGACGAGGCACAGACAGTTCTGGCCTACACATCCGACAGGCCTTCTGTCGTGAGAGGTCGCCAGTTGCGCATTCTACATTCAGCCAAGGAGGAGATGGAGAGGCAACGCAGAAAACGCCTCTTACTTCCTCAGGGCAGGCAGCCTCTACTTCTTCTCGACGCAGAGCCTTCGTTGCCTCATCAGCAGTTCTTTCGGTACTTGCAATACCTCCTGCTGCGAGATCTCCTACAACCGGAAGCGAACGCGACATTGAGCGCCTCTGCTTTTCCGCCGTATTTCGCTGAAAGCTCTTCGGCTTTCTGATTTCCATTTCATCATCATCTTCCTCGGAAAATAAAGCACGTGGAACAACCGACGAGGAGGGGCCCCCGCGGGGCGGCGCTGCAAGGTGGTCGCTGATGTTCTTGATTTCGCTTGCTGTTGCTCCCAAATTTGGAGGTGGGCATGGGAAGAAGCTACCGGGCGGCAAAAGCTGGGCATCAATTTTCTTGGCGATCGTCTCCTCCTCGTCAACGTCAATCGGCATGGCTGTGACTTCTTGACAACTGCTGTCTTCTCGTCCTCCAGTATAAACGCCAGCAACTGGAGGAGGAACCCGATTTGCTCCCAGAAATGGGAATGGCAGTTGCCACACAAGCTTCATTTGCGAAAACCGGCCCGCTAGACCCCCGGCCCCGCTTTTGGGCGACGAGGCTGCCGGCGAGGACGGACTTTGGTTGTAGGGATTCGCGTCGTCCTCTTCGGGGCTCGTCGCGGATCCGTGTGTGGAAGAGCCAAGGCCACCACTATCGTCCTGCTTCCTCCTTCCCCAAACGCGCTCGGGCGTCTGCGGGAGCGTCGAATCTGAGTCGTTTCCGGACCAACTTGGCGGCTTCGTACTAGAAGAAGTTCTCGTCGGCGGCCGGGTTTTAGTATGATGCTGTGGTCCTCGCCTTCTACTACCTCGACTGGTGCCAGGACTTGAGGCAGAACCACCGCCCTTAAAAGTAGAACTCGCCGGCGGAAACTGGTGGTCACGGGACGCAAACAGTGACGTCTCTTTGTCGTGCTCCATAAACCTGGCGGGAATGGTGCCAAACCCCGCCTCCGGAGGGACGTCTCGCAGCGCTAAAGCCGGCCCTAGAAGGTCAGTGCCAACTCCCGTGCTACTCGAAGCTACAGATGTTCTTGATACACGCTGTAGTTCCTGTACTACACCATTATTGTCGTGCACGACAACCCAGTCACTGCCCGGACTTCTGCGATGGTGCTTAATAACCCTCGATGAATCTATTTCGTCGCTACCATCGGAATTTTTTTTCCGCCCCCTGGGTGTCTCAATCCGCTCCGGAGTCTCCCCAGAGGAAGTTCGTAGCAGCAGGGGGGGCGTGCTAGGCGCTGACGGGGACTCTGGCCTGTTTGATCTAGTATTTGCACGCGGCGTTGTTAAGCGGTCCTCGCGTTGTTCTGGCGAAGTCATGTCGTCATCGAAAGGCATTGCCGCCGCCACTGATGGCTGCTGCACCGTGGACGGTTGCACAATTCGCGGGTGCTGGAGCACCCCCCCGGCGTCTTCTGCTACAGGGGTTGGAGTGCTGGTCGCGCCATCATGACTTCCAGAAGAACCACCACCAGCTGGGAGCGGGAAGGCCCGCACCGGTCCAGACGTTCTAGAGTTGTCCCAAGCTACACGGTTCATAGAAGCACCACGGTGCGCCGGCTGCTCTTGTTGGTTACCAGCAGCAGATATTCCCTCCTGGCGGCGGCGCATCACGTTAAGATTCATTCCAGCAGGCGGCGCGAGGGGCGACGAGAGGGGGTCACCAATTGTCCTGCTACTATTCTGTGCATTTAAAATCATGTGTCGCAGCAGGCTTTTATTTTCCCGGCTCGGTACGACCCTATCAGCGGAGATACTGCGTTCGAGTTCTGATGGGAGAGGAGGCTTTGTTGTGTTGTCCTTGTCGGCAACATGATCCACTTCCATAGATTGTACTTCAGTTGTAGTTGTTCCGCCATAATCTTCTAAACCCGCCTCCGGAGCTGCAACCCTAGTAAAACAATCCGAAGCTGCAGGCGTAGTACAACCGCCGGTGCTGCTCGAATGTAGATCATCAGCACCGAAGCACTGCCCCGTCGGAGTCAGCGGCTCGGAAGCCGCCCGCGTGAGCACCGGTGGCTGCGGTGGCGGCCGTGCTTGGATAGCTGAGCGAGGGGTTAAGACCGCGTCTGAACCAACCGACGGTCTCCGGCTTCTGGAGCACGTAGAGCTACCACCGCCGGTAGAGGACATTAATAGGCTGCACGACGGGTACTCGGTCGAAGCCGTGCGTGAAAGCGGAGGCTCTTCTTCTTCGTCTTCAGTGTCAATGTCCATCTTTTCTTGTTGCCGAAAAGTGTCACGATCTTCCTCTTCTATCTCAGGAGGCATAAGGACGTCTTTTTGTTCCTTATTTTCCTTGTTTTTACAACCCGATGAAGTCGTGCTACTCGGCACATTGTCGTCTATCTTTTTTCCGAGGAGAGTACCGGCAACCTGCGACACCATGTCCTGCGCCATTCGCGGTGACGAGCCAAACATCCCAAATCGCGGTGGCCCGAACATCTTCTTCCCTTCCGCGATACCGATGGTCGTGGGGCTGTTGAGCGTCAGAAACATAAACAGCAAGAGACTCAGGAACGTGGTTGCAGTTGCACCATAAGAGCATAAGAGCAAATGGCTGTAGAAGGAACTCCGACTCCCGGCGGGGGGACTAGAAGTAGGAGTGCACTTCTTGTTATCTGGACCACAACGGAAGGAAAGGCCGCCTCGGCAACAACGGCGGCCCGGCCGTCGGGTCCTCGAGTGAGGTGGGAGAAGAAGCATTTTTGGTCTGCGTTCTTCCCGCTGAATATTAATAAAATCGGTTCTACTGTTTTTCACAGCCTATGAGGAACCTATGTTGGCGTCAATTCGACATGCGGCTCGTCACGTGCGGCCCTTCTGCAGCACAAGCTGGTCTAGGTGCAGAGACCTCCGATATTAGCCCAGCCGATCTTTATCTTACAGTAGTAACAGCGTCGTCTCAAAATTGCGAAGCCGCCGCGGCTTCGGGTTTTCTTTCCGGTCGTGTAGAATTACTCGTATGCGTCGTGTGTTTCGTCATGCGGGTCCTCTACTCTTGCAATTGCAGCAAAAGATGAAGATTATTGAAGATAATTGCTTTGCGTTCTTATTCCTGTTGCTGCGTTGATGTGCATCGCGGAAGTGGATCGCTCGTTTCCCCCGGGCGATCAGTGTTGACGCGCTTCCAAATAAAGTTACTGCCGGTGAATAAGGGAAATGCAAGTGTAGTTTCCGCTACCGACTAGTAAAGATTTCCGGATGTAGTAGTTGACAACGGCTGGCTCTCAGTCCTCGACTCGTTCTACCTCCTGCAAAAAACTTTGCGCAAAGGCAAAACCCAAAAACGAGCCGCGACCAGAGTCCGTGTGCTTTGTCGTTTCAATCGTCTTCTCGTCAACGCCGTGCCACTTGAGTCCTACCTCCCATGCAGGCTACTCCGTGATCCGTACTGCAAGAAATCTCCGTTTTTTCTTGCACAAGGCTAGGTCCTCGCCGGCAATGTCGCTTCTTCAGGTCTGCTCCGCTCGTCCTTGCTTTCAAGCTCAGTACAAAAACGTAATCGCCGGATTCTACGCGAAGACCAGAAAAATCATGCTGTAGTTCCTTCCCTGTGCACTAGCACCTGGAGAAATGCGTTGCGAAACTGGGGGCTTTTCTCTTCTTTGTGAAAGGCGTCTGCTGCCTTCTTGATGTCCTCTTAGATAGGGTTGATTCTAATATGCGATTCTATTGTACAAGTGGTTCGTCTCTATTTGGTACTTATTTTTACGCCATTCAAAAAAGGACAAAGGATAGGCAAAATTTTTTGTAGTTTTCTGTTGGTACACAACTTATGGTGCCTGCTTTGAAGTCACAACTCATGCTTCAGTTATTCTCTTTTTTATCTGCAAGGATAGGAGCACCTATCCCAGGCGATATCGACTTCTAAAAGGCAAAACTAGATAAACTTGAAAGCACAGCGGCCTTGTCTTAGTAAGTATAAAAGTAGGATGGTATAAAAGTAGGATGGCATAGGTTAGAGGCACGCGCAAGCTTTAAAGATCAATTACACCAGAAGCTTGGTAGGGAGATATAGTTTTTGGATCACGACTTCCAAGAATAGAAAAGCACGGACTGTGCTCTTGCACTTCTTGTGCAAACTAGGCGGAATGAAGATCTTCTTGCGGAACGACGACAGAGACGGATCCATGATTGAAGGCAGCTCGTGTCCCACGTTCATCTTGATCGTAGAGTTGCAGAGCAATCGTCTTGCGTTGCCGTTGTCGAATACAACTTCTCGGCATAACTAAGTAAATATGGATCCAATCCCGATGTTGAGCAGCATGAGATCCGTTTTCTTGTCGGTGCAGCCGCACAAGTTGTGCAGTAGATCATACTGGGTCCTCGTTCTTGAAAGGAGAGTCTAGATCACGGAATCTTGATCGTGGTCAGTCATGGCAGTGTCAGACTCAGAAGACTGAATATTTTCCAAACCCCGAGACTCTCGCACCGGTCCGTTTTTCCCCGCGAGAAACAACAAGAAACGGCCAGACAGAAGGTGGCCAGACAGTAACTCCTCTGCTCTGAAGCTGTGAGCAGCAGCGAGCAACTGCAACACCCCAACCCCAGTTGTGAAAAATAGTCCTGACGGCGCGAATTGTGTTGCAAATAACGCACCCATTGCAGTTGCGCTCTCACTTCATGCTTCTCGGAAAAAAAGAACATCAACATACAGCACATGATGTCTGTAGTACTTACATGATTGCAAACTGACATCATTTCTTCAGCCGATAAAAATACACATTTGCCTCTTGCGTCCACGTCATTGGCAACGCCATTACCGCCTCCTCTTCCAACTTCGCCATGCACGCCGGCACGGTATCGAGAGATTTCAAACTCGCAAAAACCCGTAAATTACTCTTCCCGGTCCCCAAATCCCCAATGTTCGTGCAAATCTGCGCGAGAAGATTTTCCGAGAAACAGGTGCTGCAGGAATAGATCAATGTCGCATTGGTCAAATCGATATGTGCAAAATCGTTCTGGATCAGCTGGATTCGGCTGTCCAAACTCTTCTCCTTGTTAGAGGAATGAGCGCCGGCTACAATCTCCTCCAAAAAATCCTTCAACTCATCATCAGCCACTCCACCACAAGCTGGGCTGAAATCCTGCCTCAAATTCCGACCCGTCGCTTCCATCGTTTTTTCCAGCTCAGCTAAAAGCTTTTGCTTCGCGGTTAAAGCGTTCAAATTCCTCGTGTTTTCAAATTCGATCCCGATCGCCTGCTTCACCCTTGTCGTCAGTGCGGCCTGCAACACCGTCTTCCCGATCCCCGATCCCAAATCGTAGAAAACGTCCGCTTCCGTAGCGTTCATGCGGAGGAGGACCTGGGTCAAGCTGCTGGGGACGATTTCCCCGTACGTGGGTTCTCCGCCGACCTTCCGCAAGGCTTGATGTTCTTCCACCGGGATGTCATACCCGGAAAGATCCTCGTAGGTCTTGTCCAAAAGTGCGAGTAAACAGGCATTCAAATCAGGAGACGTGGTTTTTTCGGTGTTTTCTTTGTTCTTCGCGCCTGATGTGAGTTGTTGGAGATTTTGCAGGTTCTTCTGGTTGTCGAGGTTGAAACTGGTTGTGAAAAAGTTTTTGCTGTACTTTTGGTGATGATAGAAAGATTGGCTGTGCTGGTTGTCAACAGCTGCCGATGTAGAAGACGCAGTGGGTGTTGCTTCCTGTTCCTCTTTGCTTTCCCTATTCGATGTTGCATGATCCCGATTCCTCTTCTCGTCCTCTTTTTGCTCCTGGCTTTGTGCCCCTGGTGGAGATGAAACGGCTCGGAGGTTTGCAATCAAACTTCGTTCCCGGATAAAGCTCGGCTCTAGATTCCTTTGTCGCCAACCGGACGAATAAGAACTTCTCAGTAGGCGAAGAGCTTGCACTTGTTGTGCTGTCAAATCATGTTGAAAGCTGAGAAAAGCGATTAATGCGCAAGCTTTTCCAACGCCAAAAGCTGTCGCTTTCCTCCCTCGCGAAGGCATGTTTTTCCGAGTCGCAGAGGTCGTGATACGGTCCATTTTCGTTGATACGTTCAAAGAACAAAAAAGCAACAGGTTGGTTTGGAGGTTCTGGAAGCGTCATTTACTCTTCACAGAGTTTCAAAGCATGCAAGCAAGCACAAGAGCCAAGTGCAAGACCTCCGATGCCGGTCTTTCTTGGAAGTTCAGCGAAATACCTAGTACCGAAGGAACGGCCTCCGCTGCCGCCTGCAGCGGCTTCTGGAGAACTTAATGAACTACAGTTCTGTACGATTGAAATTTGAAAAAAATGAGCGATGCGCTTAACAGAAGTTGCGGGAGGATGTCAAAAAAATCTCAATCGACTGAGCCTGATATTCTGCAAGAGACCCTGACGCTGTGAGACCCAAACCAGCGAAACACGACGGCAGCGTGGTTTTTTTGTGTTTCGAATGACGGGAAAAAAATAAGCATACCGTCGTGATTTCGATTTGTGTGTTTTTTTGGGGGATCGATCCGCCCGCTCCCCGGGGACCCGCCCGTTGCCCGGGGATCCGCCTTCGCCCAGGGGATCCGCCCGCTCCCCGGGGATCCGCCTTCGCCCAGGGGATCCGCCCGCTCCCCGGGGGTCCGCCTTCGCCCAGGGGATCCGCCCGCTTCCCGGGGATCCGCCTTCCCCCAGGGGATCCGCCCGCTCCCCGGGGATCCGCCTTCCCCCAGGGGATCCGCCCGCTCCCCGGGGATCCGCCTTCCCCCAGGGGATCCGCCTTCGCCCAGGGGATCCACCCGCTCCCCGGGGACCCGCCCGTTCCCCGGGGATCCGCCTTCGCCCAGGGGATCCGCCGGCCCGCTACTCGGGGATCCGCCTTCGCCCAGGAGCCCGCCCATTCCCCGGGGATCCGGGTTCGCGCAGGGGATCCGCCCGCTCCCCGGGGAGTCGCCTTCGCGCAGGGAATCCCTCCGCCCATTCCCCGGGGATCCGCCCGCTCCCCGGGGATCCGCCTTCCCCCAGGGGATCCGCCCGCTCCCCGAGGATCCGCCTTCGCCCAGGGGATCCGCCCGTTACTCGGGGATCCGCCCGGCTCCCCGGGGATCCGCCCGTTCCCCGGGGATCCGCCCGCGCCCCGAGGATCCGCCCGCTTCCCGGGGATCCGCCTTCGCCCGGGGGATCCGCCTTCGCCAAGGGGATCCGCCCGTTACTCGGGGATCCGCCCGTTCCCCGGGGGTCCGCCCGCTTCCCGGGGATCCGCCCGCGCCCCGAGGATCCGCCCGCTTCCCGGGGATCCGCCTTCGCCCGGGGGATCCACCCTCGCCCCCGGGGGGTCCGCCCTCGCTTCGGGGGGTCCGCCCTTTCCCCGGGGAAATCCTCCCGGCTGGGGTAGTGCGTACCACGGGAGAACGGGCTCCGGAGGAATCCTCTCCGGAATCCCCTCCCGAAATCGACGCTGTGCCGCCGGGGAAAGACCGCGAAGGACGGCGCCAATCCGGTCAG